TTAATTATTGATTTTCATCATGATACAAAAAAGAAGGTAGTTTCAATAAACAACTTTTTGATTAAAAAGGTGATTTTTGACAATTGCACAATTGTAAAAAATTCGAAGCGGCGTTGCCCAATTTTAGTATTTTGGTAGAGGGGATTTTATATCCTAAATTTGGGAGTATAAATAAAATAGTTGTATTAACATTTTTCCTTTTACAAATAATTAATATCTTTTCTTAAAAATGTTTAAATTGTACATTAAATTCGATAACTAATTGCCAAAATCTTTATTTTTACAGTAATAAAATTTTAGTGAACAGATTTTAAAATTCTCTGTCATCTGATTATTTCACAATGGAGCTAGCCAAGAATATTACAGTTTTCTATATCCGATACGTTTATTTCTGATATATTTCAGACACTGAAATTACAATTTCGATATTGTCTTTGCCCATGTCTTTCAAGTAACTTGAAAACGAAATTTACTTTGGGACCCATGGGCCTCATGACTTTCAGTGAAGTGACTATTATCTAATTCTAGTATATTTCGACAATATCGTTGTTCCTGTGGGTAAAAACAAATACAGTATATTTTGCTTTGCTGCCTCTATGCTTAAGTGCACATTTAAGATACCTACCCCAAAATGCGCATCAGAGGCATTATTTTTAAAATTTATAAGGAAACTGCTCCGATAGATGCATTCAACATACCTGCACATTGGCGATGCCTGCCTTAAAAATTGTGCGACTAGTATCAATTATCAATGAAAGTATTACGTTTACCTGCACTGGCCCCATTTTGCTCATCTCGCAGAACAGCGAAAATTGCTATCAATTTATGTAGTTATATAGTGTAGTAAATTTCGCTTGCAGTAATTTCTACATGGTAAGTGCTCCGCTAATATTTGGTTTCATAGGGATTCGGATACCTTTCCTCATTGAAGTAGTAAAGAAAATTCGCTTAAGTGCCTTTTTCGGTTACGTGCACAAGTTTTTCGTGCAAAGAAGGATGTGCAGCTAAGCAAAATATACTGTATATTTTACTGTTCAATATTGGAGGGGGTGTGAAACAAAATTGATGATTTATTGTTAGTATGAAAACTAGAAACACAATTATAAACTTATTAAGCATTAGACCTCTTATCTTTAAAAAAAACAAAAGGGGAAATGTTCGGTTATTTGTTCAATGGTTTTGGGGTGGCAAGCGGAGATGGACCCATTAAAAAATTGGGTAAAATTAGAATTTTTACAGAGAAAATTTAGGTCCAACTCCGGCTACGCTGACCACAATATTTTTTTTAAAAAAGGTCCATATTTCAAACCGAATTTATTCATAAATTTGTATCTGAAAGTTAGAAATCTTTATTTTAAACTAACGTGTAATTGTTTGACCACACGTGAATGTCAAAATTTTTTGCTTTGGGTTAAGCATTTGGACAATTAACCCAAAATTATTGTACAAGTAGCCGAGCCGTACCCAACAATATACCTTTTGCTATTGAAATTTCGATTCTAAGAACAAAATGTTTGTAAATAACCAGAAAATTAATAACAAAATTTGGAGGGTTTTGGATACTGGGTATGGTAGCACGAAATGTCACAATCTACTTAATTGTCAGGTTGTTAATATGGCGACAAAAAAGTGACAATGGAACTACCTTCTTTTTTGTATCATGGATTTTCATATTCACACCACTCAGTTAATAAAAGTTTAAACCAGCATGCCCCGATAGCTAAACTCTTGTGAAATTATTATTTTTTTTTTTTTTGTGGAACGAATTTAAAATTTGAATAGAAAAGTAGTGATTTTTTGAATAGAAAAGTAGTGGTAGTGGTGGTTGGTATATTTTCAAGCGATACGAATTTTCATAGTTAACTCTGTGAAACTGAATATAAATTCATAGTTAAACTCTTATTGGTTGTTAAGTTAACAATGGTTTAACTAAGCACTGTGAATTCGACCCAAACTCTTATGCATTTCTCATTGTCTCCATTTTCATCTTTATCTTCACTTTTGCCTTCTCTTTTTTGTCATCGTTATTATTTATTTCTTCATCACATTTATCTTTTTTTTCAAAGTTTAATTTCAAATATGAAGTGAAACATGATACAAAAAAAAGGTAGTTTCATTTCAAAATTTTTGACAAAAATAAGTTTTTGAAGTTTCATAAATTGTACAAAATTATGAGCTGCCTTGCCACATTGACAGGAATCAAACAATACATCAGAGGATTTAATGTTGTGCATGGGAAATGTTCGGTTATTTGTGCAATTATATTTTGGAGGGAGCGGAGGGGGAAGAAGTGGGCCACCTAAAACTCTAGTCATTAGAAATAGCGCAGTATAAACTTGCATAAAAGTCATCCTTCGCCTCCGTGCCTTTCTACAGGAACTCGGGGCCCATTTCGAAATAGAGTAAAATTAGCATTTTCACAATCCACAGTATTTTTGGGTAAAATCCACCTCCAAATTTATAAAAAAAAATGCATATTTCAAACCGAAATCTTTGTTTTAGGTTAAAGCTTAATCCTTTGACTAGCCGCATATGTTAAAATTTGTTGATTCGGGTCACACGTTTGGACACGATAACCCAAAATCACTTCATAAATAACCGAACCGTCCTCGAATTGTCGTTTACTATGCATTTTTCTATAAATAAAAATTTTAGAAAATTAAACTGCAGTACTTTTCATCTCATGTGCATGCGTATATATTTTTTACCAGCGCCACATATTTATCAGAAAATTCCGAGAATCCAAAAAGTTACAAGTTGCAGGGCATCATTTTAACTCAACCTCCTCTCTCTTCCACGGATAACGGTACCTCGTTTAGAGTTTTAAAAATATTTTGCGTCAGAAATTTGTCATCAAACTGCATTAGCAAAAACTTTTTTTCGAACCTTTCGACGAGCTTGAAACGTTTTTTTTTCCTTTTTCAAGAAACTAAAATGTTGCTGCTAGTGAATCTGGTAGCATGATTTTAGTTAAATGTCACAAACTTGTTAAAAGTCATGATGCAATAATGAAAGGTGTTATACGTTGGCAACTTCTCGCTCTAATCCGCCATCTTGAACTACCTTAGGAGAAACCATGATAAAAATATAGTAAGGTAGAACCGCTGAGAGTCACTTTTAAAGTTCTTGACGTTTCCAAACAATTTAATTTTTAAATTTACTCACAAACTCACACACACATTTTCATTTTCAATCTCAAGCAACAACAATTTCGAACAATTTCAATTTTTTATTTTCACTTTTATATGATTTTAAAATGTTGGCAAACTTCAAAAAAAAATCATGGCCGACAAATTGAGAGATCGGTTCTACCTTGCTATGTTTTTATCATGGGAGAAACTGTGTTGTTTCTTTGCTATTTTCACTGAACATTTCCCAAAATATTAGAAAAAAATTCTGAACAAGCTACATTGATTCAATTTTCGTTGTTCGTTTTGTTCTTATTCGCTGACATTTGTTTTCCAATTGCGCGAAATTTGGTAAGTATTGTAATAAAACCGAATTATTTTACAAATAAATTATAATTTTGCATTTATTAGGTCATTTCCTTAGTGTTTCGCTGACCGACCTGTGCTGGTATTGTGATTAAGAGCTAATACACGTAAGTTACAACATATTATTTTGACTTTATTGATGAACCATTCCATTTGAGCTCTTTGTTATTTCAAAACCTAATGAACCATTTATTCGCAGATTTTTCGGACGATTCTGCTGTGCTGCGTTCCTGCTCCGCCTGTATATTGCTCCGCCCGTATTTTATAATGTTGCGTTCCTGTTGCGCCTTTGCATTAGTGTGTGCGTTGTGATTTAGACACGTTGAAGTAAGTTGAAACCAGGTTCTCGTTTGTTAAAAACCTAAAAAACCATTTATTTGCAGATTTTTTGTATGCTTCTGCTGTGCTGCGTTCCTGCTCCACCCGTGTATTAGATTTCTGCGTTCCTGTTAACATACATATCGTCGCTTAAAGTACAAAACCGCGTAACTTGCTGCTAAAAATAGGATTCGCTCACACACGTTTTTGGATCAATCCTTATCCATTCTTCCTGAAATATACTAGCCAAAAATGCGATTGCTTTTTACAAAAAGATAGCCATTTTGAAATATGAGTGTTTTTACTCTCTAGAAATTAATTTATGCAACCTCGCATACGTGGGTTTGCATTATCTCTATACGCGGTTTTGCAATTTATTGATACATGGTTTTGTACTTTAAACGACGATGTGTATGTAGATGTATGTACATGTATATCACATATATTGACTTAGATATGTATACACAATTAATGGTGTACATAAATTTTTTTATATTGAAACTAGATATGTATATAGTACATATTTTATTATTATTAGTCGGTTCAAAAAAGTCCTATCTCAAATAAAAATACTTCGAAAATGTGCTGAGATAGGGTGTTTTTGAACCGAGTTCCGAGATAGGGCATTTTTCAATCAAATTCTAAAATAGGGCGTTTTTCAGCCACATTTTGAAATAGGGCGTTGAAAAGCTTTCTGATATCGGGCGTTTTCGACCTGGCTGCCGAGATAGGTCGATCTTCTACTCAGTCATCGATATATGGTCGAAGTTTTCGTTATATAGAAGACGATTAAACACGATTTGTTTTTAATCGATTCTAAAAAAACTAAGGTAATTTTTAGCCATTAGACTAAAATTGAAGGGGCTATAAAACTGAGTGCTCAAAAAAATTCTAACACTTCTGAGAAAAAAGTTTGAATTTTGGTTGAAAATTTGTTGTATTTTTTGTAGTTTTCTACGAAGTTTTAAAATTCGGTTTATATGAGTTTTGTTAGAAATTCAACTTTACTTTTGTTGCAAATTCTTAGCAATAAATAAATTAACATGAGAGGGAAATAATATTACTTTGAAATGGGGTTGCTATTGATATGACCGATATTGTATGTATATAATAAATTTTGTACAATTAAAAAAGTGGATTAACTAAAATGAACACAACGTATTAATTACAAATTCTGAAATATGTCGTCAATTTCAAAAACAAATAAATAAAACTTTAAAAAGTAGTCAATGCTTGCTGTATGACACGAACTTGGATATACGTGGACTTGGGTAATGTATAATTCCTTATATGATTCCTCAAAGTATCCCTTGTATAACACTGTGGAACACAAAAAAACCTTAGTGCGACTATATCAGGTTTGATAGCTGTTGGCCATACCAATAATGCCTCATACTAAGATTTACTAGATCAATTCGTGTTCTCCGAGAAAAAAAATTTTCACGATCCAAAAATCTGAAAAATTGTTTTTCTCCAAAGTTTGAACATTTATCGTTTTTGGCCTATATTTTGTTGAAAATACCATACAAAGCAAATATAGGGCAAAAAACAAAGGATTTTCAAAATTTTGAGAAAAGGATTTGGCTATACTTAGATTTTTGAATCGTGAAATTTTTTTTTCTCGAGAACACGAATTGATCAAGTAAAACTGAGCATGAGGCATTATTGGTATGGTCAACAGCTATGAAACCTGATATATGCGCACAAGAAGCCTATATGAAAGAGGGGGACAAAAGATCACACGTAAATGAATTCCTCTTTTTGGACTGTACAATATAAGGGACACATTTCAAATTCATAAGGGATAATTTTCTTAGTGATACGGCTCATAAAAGTAATTATATAAGCCATACTGTTCTAGCTGGGTATTCATCAGCTCGAAAATTTTAAGCATAGTATCATATTCCTGTGAATAAAAACACGCCTAATTTTATTATTTTAATTATCTACAATTTTATGAGACTACCAAGCCATATATATACCTATTCTGATAATCGGAACGCTGTTGAGAAGGCATACAATTTAGTACTTTTTCAACTAAAAGGCTTTTTTTTATTCCCGTTTATCTTGTACTTCCAAAATACAATATTGACCTAAGGTAGTTCGATTTCGAGCTGTCACAACGTACAACACCTTTCATTATTGCATCATGGTTAAAAGTCAAGTGGTCGGCAACAACAACGAATGTCAACAAATGAAACTACCTCCTATTTTTGTATCATGAAGTGAAACAAAATGCGAAAACAACTCAAACTGAACAGGTTCAACCAGAAGTATATATAAATATGGAAATTTTCAAACGACAATCGTCTACAGAAAAATACCTTTTCAATGGTAAACAGCATAACCTGGCGACCTATGCTGACCCTGGCATCGGACCATCTGGTTGATAAGCCTGCCGATTTCACAGGGTGGTGCTTAGTAGCCGCTACAACAACAAAACATACATATGTATATCTGGCCAAGGACAGTCACTCCACCTGACTCCTGGAAAAGTCTCCGAGGAATTTGTATGCTTTTACAATAACAATAACATGAAAATTTATTTGGTCGTGGGGAGAAAATTACAGGTGCAAAAAATATTTGTATTTCTAAACGTTTCATCCCACTGCAGTCAAATGTTAGAGACGATCATTTAAACTATAGCGGTAGTATTTGCAACGAGTTATGGAAATTTCATAGAAATCTCGAGGACAAATCGACATAAATTCATTTACTCTCCTCAACGCGAGGAAAGTGCATAAACAACTATTAAATAGCAAAATAAATATTTTTGTATCCAAATCTAATGGTCAATTATACTCCAGACATTACCAAAGCATTTGCAATACATGAGGAAATGTAATGTATCTATTACTAGTATTTAGAAAGTTTGCAGAGATGCTGGATTAAGACATTCTTTCAACAAGCAATGGTACGTTTACCGGTTTTTACAAAATCGCAATAGAAGCGTATATATGAATATTTACATATTTTAGACTTATTGCACTTGCTATTAACCTACTGAAAACTATAAAACCTACATATTTACGTACCTTAAGAAAAATATGCTGTGGATTAATTCCCAGTTCTAAAGAAAATATACCATTTCAGAAAACTTGTACATATTGAAGTCATACTTTAGTATACCTTCCAACAAAGGTGGCTCATCGTCGAAGTCAGCTCCGGTGCCACCTGGTTTGAAACCTGAATCCTGGTCGTACGACTGATTTACATATGCATTTGGATCATAGAAACCACTTAGCCCTTGATTACTTGCGGCATAGCTGGCATCGTAACTCGGTGGAACGGAGCTCTGTGTGTTATCAAATGTTTGAAAATTTCTGTAAATAAAATTTGGTTATTAACTTTGCAGTGAAAAATGTTAGCTTTACATACAACTCTTGACCAAATTCCGGCACCTCAAAATTATATGACTGATCACCACCGCTTGCATAGAAATCATTTGGGTCATTTGTTCCACTGGCGTAAGACATTTCGTTACGCACCTTAATTTAGAAAAATAAAACAAATAAACGCAAGTGATTATGAAAAACTAATATTAAACTAATGGCGAGCATTATTTACAGGTAAAGCAGCAGGCCGAAAGTCTGTATTTACCTCAACTTACTAGAGCTTAAATAAAAGAATACATTGCACTTACTTCTCAGGTAAATCTTTAACAAGTTTTCTTTTATTATTGGGATGTTTAGTTGTAAAACTATTAAGTGAACTAGAATAATTATTCTATATTTCATCGAACAAAAGCTACCCACACAAAAAACACAGGAGTTGTAATTTTTGACACGTCAGTTGAATTATCAACACAGGGTGGTATTGAACAGCTGATTGACAAAATGAGCAACAGTGTGCCGTGCAGGCAAAAAATGCAATACATTTTACATATGTTTACCAAAGAACCAAAGAACGTAGGTAACAAGAAGGGACAACTCGTTATAACTTTCAGCCAATCAAAAAACGCACTAGGGCAAAAGAGAAGACACGCCCCTGTTGCGCACTTTCGCTACAATTCTTTGAAAGAACGTAGATAACCTACTTTCTAGTTTTTCGCTGGAGCACTGCCGCCTTTTCAAAACACTTCATTTCATGTATTCGCGAATTATACATAAACGGAACCATTTTTAAATTCATGAAATGACGAATTCGTGAATTCTGCCGCATGAACGTACTATTTATTATTTAAGGAATTAATTTTATATTAATGGGATTTTAAAACAGGAAAGTCGTGTAACACACACAAATGACCGAATCGATATGGTAAAATCATATCACTCGTTAACTATAAAACTGGCACAACTTGAAAAATGTTTTTGGTTATTCAGGAAAAGGGTATACATTTTTCAATTAGTCCTTACCATGCTTAAAACTGTGGTGCATATCGTCATTATCAGTGCGGAATATTCCTTTTGGCAAGCTTTGAATTTTACAGAAGCCGAAAACTTTTTAAATTTTTATAGTGAGCAACTACAGATGCCAATAAATGCCATAAATCTCGTATTTGCAATTACTCGAGAACTCGATTACTCAAACTATAGTTTCGTTCCTCAACTTTCCTGGATAAAACCTGTAAAACTGTCAAAAAGCAAAATTGCTCTCAGAAAAAGAGAGAAAAACCAAAAAGTACGCTTTTCGGGTAAAATCTGGTAAAACTGTCAGATACACCGTGGACGCCAGTTTTTGTTTACTTAGCAGTTTTTATATCATTTGGCGATATTCTAAATGTTGCTCAAATACACCAGCAAATTAACAAAAATATTTACAAAACTTGATATTTCTTCGCTAGGATATATTTAATAATGTGAAAATGCAGATGCACTTTTGTTTTTGTTTATTCAAATTTGTAATCATTTGAACAGCTGATGGTTTGACACTTTACCAGATTTTAGGTGTGTACTCGTATTGAGAGGACAAAATTCTCCAGCAGCAAAAGTTCTGAGAATTTAGCAGCATTCGCTCTCAAAGAGACGAAATATCAACAAAAGTACGAGAACGCAAAATTTGCAATAACTTGCAACCTTCGAAACAGCTGATCACTTGCACAGTTGCCACTGGTGATTAATTTGGCAATTTATTTTCTGATTGGTGCATTTTCCTCCGATTTGGCATTTTATACATTTGAATAGTTTTAGATAAGAAAAACTTTTTTAAAATACGAATTAATTATATCAGAATGAATAAGTTATTTTTCTCATAATTATTTGTGATATCACATGGTGACGCATTAAAAACAATAGTATCTCCTCCAAGCACCCATCTCCTCCAAGCACCCATCATTGATCCAAAAAAATGTAATAGAGTAGGTTTAAAATTATAAAATTTTCATTTCAACAATCAACCTACCAAAACCGAAAACTTCAGCAAAACAACATTTCAGCATGCTGCATTTAAATCTATTTTGGTATATTTAAAGGTAAATTATGGTACAAACGAAAAATGTCATACGGCAACCATAGTCAGCACACACTAAAGTAAACAAACTGGAGATTAATAGCAAATTAACGAAAAATAAACTCAACAAACGTTGTGCTTATTAAATTTACGCACTTTGTAGTTATATACTAGCATTAAGAATAAAATTTGCAATAAATAACTCAAAAAGGCCATATTTTCTTTTGTTTATTTACAAACATGTGTTTGTGATCAGCTGATTTTCTTACTTGCAAGTTTTAGCTGGGAAAAAATTTTCCAGCAGAAATTTGCAGCTCTCTTTCACATTTTTCTCTCTCAATATCCCCTACTTTGCAAGTTTTTTGGGTACGAGAACGCAAAACCAGTAAAAGTTTTCTAAAACTTTAGATAGTTGGGCGTACGAGTACACACCTTTTACCAGCAAAAATTCTTCGGGTAAAATCTCGCAACTTCTAACAAAGAGAGGGCCGATTTTGCTCTTCCATTTTCAAAAAAATCCGCTTTTTTGATTATCAAAAAAAGAAATATCAGAAAAGGAAAATTGTTTCTGCTGCAAACATAAAATTTAATTAACAGGCAAATTTTATTATTTCAAGCAATTGCGGGAATAATGGGTCGTAAAAAAGTAGGCGAATTAGTGCTATCGGGATTTTTGATTGGAGAGGGTTATTTGTGTGCAAATTTTGCCAAGCGAAATTAACAAGTGATCACTTGGGAAATTTCCAAAGCCATTTGATCAGAAAACATAAGGAAGCCTTTGTTCAGGACGAGCATTAAAATTAAGCTTGAGCTATGTGAAAACGACGTGAAAGATACTTGTGCGTATTTTAATACCAACACTTTTCAAAAGTTATTTACGCCAATATATCTACAGTTTAGATAGAACAAAATTACTCGTAATAATAAAGGGGAGATTTTAATGCAAAAACCTGCAACACTAAAAAATCGCATAATATCTATAAAAATTGCCAGTGCCCAGCGGCTGTTTCGTAACGTAATATCGTAATATTTATTAAATGGAGAAATTACCATAAAAACGTTGGCAGTAAAAAACTTTCGTGGAAAACACACCCGAGGAAACCTAAAAGGGCTAATTTTGAAAAGTCTAGAAAGGTATGTGTCAATAATTACTTGATATTAAAGATAGCGGAGCGTTTTTTGTAGCATTAGCGTTTTTTAGTTTCAAAATTAATATACACACTTAATTACTTAACTAACTTTTGTTGAAAATTCAATAGTCAACACTTATTTACTTATTACTATAACTTTTTTTTTTTAATTTCAATATGTAGATATCGTATCACAATTATTCAAGTGTACAATATCACAAGTGATCATGGCAGCAACTTGGTAAGCTGCGGAAACCTCCTGCAACAGGAAAGTAAGGAAGTAAAAGTGGCTTTACCAAATCCATCGGAAGATGTCGACGATACATTTTTGGAAAATTTCGAAACCATTTTTGAAGACCTAAAATTCGACACTTGTGTTTCGCAAAATTTTCGTAAGCGATTGAATGATATTAGTAGCAATAAAAGTAGTTTACATTACTATAAAAAAAGAAAGAAAAATAAAATAAAATTAACTTAAAAAATAATAAAAAAAAAACAAACAAAAATATCAAACAAAAATATCAAACGTAATAAAAATTAAGGAAAAAATTAAAAAAGCAAATACAAAATATTAAAACCAAATATAGATAATGTAAAATTATAATCATAAAATATATAATAATAATATAAAACAAAACAATTACAATATAAAAATATGTAAATATAAAAAAAAACAAATTACAATTAATTAAAAAATAAAACATAAAAATAAAAAAATTTTAATTAATTAATTAATTAATAGTAAAAATATAGTAAATAAATTAAATTACAATAAAAAAATGTAAGTAAAATAAAATAAAACCAAATAAGATAAAATAAACTAAAATAAATAATATAATTTTGTTTAACTGTAATTTTTAATAATAATAGTATTGCGTGCATCACATAATTTTATTTTTAGTGTCAATTGTAATTATAAGATGTGCGGCGCATACCGTACAGGTAAGCGTAAACGATGTTTTTAAAAATGGGGAAATTAAAAACTGTTTTAGAGAATGCCGCAATGTAGTGAGAAAGCTGCGGACGCCAGCAATGCATAAACTATTATTATCACACAATTTATTGCCTCCCATAGCTGAGTGTCCAACTCGTTGGTCTTACTCGTATGAGTTACTTAAACGGTTGACAAACTTAGACACATTCATCTCAGAAAATATAAAAGAAGCCAATATTTACTGGTCATTTGTAGATGAATTTTTAAACAGCTTTAGCATAGTTAAAAATACTACCGTAAAATTACAAGAAAAAATTTGCTATTTGAAGTCTTCATTAAAACCTATTTGGAAATGATTCTTGTTGTAAAGAAAGAAGCGGACAAACATCACATTTCCAAACTTTTGTTGCAGTCCTTAAACCAGAGGAAAGATAACTTGCTCCAAAACCCAACCGTGGCGGCAACAATCTATCTTGATCCGCGACTGAGACGATTGCTCCACAGTCCAGAATACGCACCTTTAAAATCAGTTGCAGTATTTGAAGGCTCGCTACTTTAAAATGCATGAAAGTGGCAACAATGTATGTATATATGTTTGATCTCTATGATTTAATATATAAGGATACATACAATTGCTAGTGTTCTGAAATCTTTTTCAGACGCAGGAGCCTGCTGCTAATTCAAGTAGTGAAGTACATGAAGACAGTGACAATTTGCTTGGTACACTACTAAACCAAGTCTCCCAATACGAACCAAGAAGTGAGAATACCACAGAAGCATTTTCTATCATAGAATCATTCAATGGAATTTGCGATTTGGAAGCCAACTTAGTAGACTATTGGGAGCAAAAAATTTACTAACAGTACCTTGTACCAGCTATATAAAATTATACATAATCAACGAAACGAATTTTTTTTGTTAACATTTTTTGATAACTAACGAAACTATTTTTCTTTTCATATTTTGTTTATTGATAATAAGCAAATGAAATTTTTTGATAAGTTATATTTTAATAAATAACGAAACGAAATTTTTTTGTTTATATAGATATTTTTTTTCTTTTTTTTTTTTTGATATTATCAAGTCACTTCTACTTCTTCATATGTAAAGAGTACTTTGAAAATTTGATTACTCATTTTACTCATAACGTTGCTTAATCATAAAGCAAATTACTCAAATATTTTAGTTTGGTTAATAAAAATATTGATAACTCGAGTAACTGAACTTTTAGTGATCGTTATTTCCAATTAATCGAATAATTGAGTTATTTACTTTATGATTAATATAAATATTGAACAATCAGTTAATCGCACAGCCCTAATCTCTAGAGATTTGGTTTAACATTTTTTAAAGTCCTGAGGGTAAGTTGATGGAAAAAATAAACGTATTTTCAAAAAAGGGCAATAGGGCGTTGAAATAATGATATTCTTTTCTAACACGGAACTCCCTTAAAAAAAAATGGAATGAAGAATTAAATATGTTTAGTTATATTTTTATTTAATAACGTGAATAATACATATAGATATTTTTTTTTCAATAATCTCCATGTAACTTGGTTTATTTTACAATAAATAAATAACCTAAAACTGTTAACCGGATAGGACAACACATTGATTGCACTTTAAAATACATATAAAATGGCGATTCATAAGACCAGTAAGCCTTTATAAATATTTACAAATAACAAAAATTGCAATAATCGTTTTCTTTCTCTTTAATTTATGAACTCGAATCGTAACAGTATGAAAATCATAAATTTATTGAACGCATATTGTAGAAACACCCTACATATAGGTATTATACAGTTAATAATTATAGCCAAACACTTTGAAATATAACAAGTCTGTATTTATTTAGGTATTTTCTTTAAGTATTTAACCTTTGTGTTACGCACTTACGAATGTATATTTAATTTTCATATGAATACACATACGTTGTATATCTATAGTTGAAGTATCTTTGGTTCGTTTGCCTCTAAATTTGTTATTCGTTAGCCACTAGTTATTGTTCGCCTTTCATAGGTGATTTGTTTCCAATTTCACCATTCATTCCATTGTGATTTTTAAGTTATATGTATGTATTAACATTTGCTTATAGGACATAAAGAGGTAAATTAAGGATGAATACTATTTTTTTATAAATTTTTTTTCGTTAAACTGATCCTAACTTTATTTTCATAAATATTACGGTAATACGTAAATGACTAGTTGAAATGACTAGTTTCAAATATATCAGTTATATGATAAATGAATAAATTAAATATATTGATGGTTTGCTTAAACTGATATTCATTTTCATTATATTACTTGGCTTTGGTTATTATGTATTTGTGTGTTTAAACTTGCCATCAGATTGTTTAGATTTAGTCTTCCATATTTCTAAAGGCCTGCTGCAAATCTTCGTGAAGTTGTTCATAGTCTGCTTTGATTTTCGCCTCACCATCTTTAACGGGATCCTGAAAGAGTGCATGAAAGCGATAAAAATTAAATTAATTAAAGAACTGCATGTAATGCTGTGGAACACCAAAAAAAAACTGGAGTGCGCTTAGCTGTTCGCCATACGAACAATGCCTCATACTCAGATTCACTAATCCAAATTTTTTTTCTCCAAGTTTTGAAAATGTATCGTTTTTTGTATCATCTGTTGAAAATAGCATACAAAGCAAATATAGGCAAAAAACCGTCGAATTTTCAAAATTTGGAGAAAAAAATTTGGCCGCCCAGGTTTTTTTTTTTGATTATCCTGATAAATGCACAGCCTAGATTTTTTAAAAATTCATTTTTGTTTCACAATAAAATTTTTAACATTTTTTTATACCAACCTTGAATTTCATTGACGATAGTTGGTATATGATATTGCCCATCGCATCACGTATACTATTCCATGTGATCTTATTATCTGACTGGGCAGTGGATTCTACAGCATGGCGAGCTAGCTCGTAGAAGGCCAGCATATTCCTTAACATGCCCACAGTTTTGTAAAATGGGCACACACGATCATAAGGCGAGTAGGAGTTCTGTTGTAAAAAGTCATCCTTCACAAGTTTTGCAACTTCCAGTGTAATTTTATCTGTTTCCGCCAACGATGCTTTGCCGACCAGCTGCACGATTTCCGATAAATCTTCTTCCTCTTGCAAAATCTCTTTAACCTTTGTACGAAGTGGTACAAATTCTGGGAAATTCTTGTCATAATATTCATCTAATGCACGCATGTACTTCGAATATGAAATCAACCAGTTAATCGAAGGGAAATGTTTACGCTGCGCCAGTTTTTTGTCTAGACCCCAAAACACTTGCACAATACCGAGTGTAGCGGAAGTAACGGGATCAGAGAAATCACCACCAGGTGGCGATACCGCACCGACAATAGACACCGAGCCTTCGCGTTCGGGATTACCCAAACACTTAACGCGACCTGCACGCTCGTAGAAGGAGGCCAGACGTGCACCCAAGTAGGCTGGGTAGCCAGAATCGGCAGGCATTTCAGCCAAACGTCCGGAAATTTCACGCAACGCCTCAGCCCAACGTGATGTCGAGTCAGCCATCATGGCAACATTGTAACCCATGTCACGGAAATATTCAGAGAGTGTGATACCGGTGTAGATGGAGGCTTCACGCGCAGCTACCGGCATGTTGGAGGTGTTGGCTACCAAGGCGGTACGTTTCATAATAGACTCGACCACGCCATCAATCTCACAAGTCAGCTCGGGGAAATCACGTAATACCTCAGACATCTCGTTACCACGCTCACCGCAACCGACGTAAATGATGACGTCCGAGTTGGAATATTTCGAGAGCGCCTGCAAGCAAATTAATCAGCAATTTTTTTGACAATATTCAAAATAGTAATCATACCTGTGAGATTACAGTTTTGCCACAACCGAACGCGCCCGGTATAGCTGTAGTGCCGCCTTGTACACAAGGGAATAGTGAATCCAATACACGTTGGCCCGTGAACAAGGGATGATTTGCAGGCAGTTTTTCAGTAACTGGACGTGGTTGACGCACAGGCCACACCTGCAACATTGTGTGTTTTGTAATTTCACCATCGAATTCGGTTTCCAAAATCACATCCTCCACTGTGTAATTGCCCGCGGGCGCGATATAACGCACTGTACCCTTGCAACGTGGACCCACAATTAAACGATGTTTTACCAGCGTATTCTCGTGAACAATGCCATATAGATCGCCACCGGTTATATGCGAACCGACGCGCACATTTGTCGGATTGAATCCCCAAGCCTCAGTGCGTGAAAGCGAAGGAATATTTACACCTTTCGGTATATATATGGAACCACTGGCTTCGCCAATGTCCTTTAGAGGACGTTGAATACCATCGAAAATGCTACCCAAAATACCAGGACCCAATTCCACAGATAACGGTTTGCCTGTACGTAACACTGGATCACCGACGGTTACACCGGAAGTTTCTTCGTACACTTGAATGGTTGCCATGTCACCTTCTAGACGAATGATCTCACCGACCAATTCGTAGTAACCTACACGCACCAATTCGTACATAGCAGAGCCAGCCATTCGTTCCGCAGTAACAACTAGAAAATATATGAAGTATATTTATAAACCAAAGATATGTGTCGAAAAAGATATTCATTAAGAATTAAACTACTCAAATAATGAAAACAATTGTACTAACTACCAAATGCCCGGTCGTCTTAAAATATTTCATTTATTTTATCCATTTAATTGAATCAAATTTTCCAAACAGGTGGCTACCCACAGAAATATTTTCTGCAGTAAACTTTCCTAAACCTCTTCAGTTTTATACCCATATTGCTATATTCAAGTTATCTTATCAATTGAAATAAATTAAAATTTTCAAACAGGTGGGAACCATCAGCAAAAATATTTTCGGCTGTAAGCCTTCTTAAACCTCTTTCTTTTGTCAGCCGTATTGCAATGTTTACTATGTCTTATCAATTTACTTAAACTGCAAATTTCAAACAGGTGGCAACTCTCTAATTTTTTTCTTTTTGTATTTTAATCATCGGCGAAAACTGCATTTAACTCCATGCATTAGTTTTCGAGTTATGCGCATATAAATATACAAACCGACAGACGGACAGACAGAAATAAATTCTAAAAATTGTTGAGTAGTCTTCTTTTGCTCTAATAAAGGTCCCCCCCCCCCAATTAATTTTTCTTTAATATATATATATTATTATATATATTATTAATTTACTTTTAAAATAATAAATGGATAATTCAAAAACTAATTGCATTTTTATGAACGTCAATCAACATCACTAGCACTTTTTTGCTTGCTTAAATCATTACTCACCGGGACCGGAAACGGCAAAAACGCGACCATATTGCGACTCGCTCTCCTCATCTTGGTAGCACTTCAGTGTCGACATTTTTATCTATTTTCTGCAAAAGAAATTTATACATTTTTTATGGCAAATTGTTGCTAATTTACTCTAAATATGTAATACACTGATTCATCCGATTATTCAATTGGAATTATTGATTTTTCGCCATATTCAAGTACACTTTGTATTGTTGTTGTTTTTGTAGCAACGAAACGCACACATTTCTAAAACTAAACGCACTTTCGACACTAATTAATGCTTTGAAATCTTGAAATCAAACAAAGGTACATATGAAAAGTACTTGTTTAATTCAACATTCGCATTTTTTTTTTTTAATTTCATTATTATTAGGCCAAAGCACCATGGGCCCAAGCATTTTGATTGCCCCTCGGCCTCTCACATGTATACAAATGTGTTAACAACGAAAATGTGTGCACCACTACCGCTCGCTTTCTCTTCCGCTTTGCAATAGCTTCGCTCTTGTGCTCTCTTAAATTTGGTAAAAGGCAAAGGAAAATTCGATTTTTCACCATTTGGCACTTGCAATTTTTCACCCATTGTATTTGTTGGAAATTAAAAAATTTCACATTTCACCAGCTAAAAATGATTTGTTTCATTTAAATTTATAGCAAAACTGTAGCACAAATATTAAATTTTTGATTTCAAATATTTATATATTGCAAAACTCATGGAAAATATGTAAAATGTGGCTGAAGAAAATGCTTACTTTTGTATGACGGACACGTAATTTTCTGCGCTGGCTAAATAACACGATGGACTGGACTGAACTGATCTGAATATGAATGGCAGCTATGTATATTTTCGAGTATAGTGAAAATTTGGCTAAAAGCAAAGATGAAAAATCGATGCGCAAGAGTGGAAGTGTGTCGAAATGATGCAGTTTATCACTGAAATTAAGAAAATTGGTCGTGCCCGAAAAAATTTAAAGAAACAAAAGATTTCATAAAATATTTGTATTCATTTGACTTTTGAAAAAGGCATACATATTTTTTTTATTATGAAATGCAATTTTTTCAATGCAGTAAATAGTGAAATTCATGTTTTTTTTTAATATTCAGTTCCTTAGATATTTAAGTGATTTTTAAAGTGATACTCGCATCATAAGAAAATAAGAAGTAAAGAAATACATATTTTGAAAATCTTATATCCACAAGCAATTTTAACCAGAGATCGTAACGGTTAAAACTTTTACTAAAAAAAATTGCTTTTTAATGATTTTTTCTACTAAGTTATATTTATTGCTCGGAAAATAATCGATGTTTCTTGAGTTTTGAGGCTTAGAAAACAAAATTAGCTTCCGTTGTTTTTTTTTAAGGAGTCAAATAAATAATTATCATAAAAAAATATGTGACACTCTTAATGTTAAGTAATACTAAGACAAAAACCAGAACGATTAAGAAGCCGAAGAGAAGGATAAATGTGAAGACGAACGGAAGCGAACACGAACACGATCACGAGTACGAATAACACAACAAAGGCTTAGGAGAAAACGAAAATGGCGACTGTTACCTACTGCAATTGCAATAACGATTACCATTACCATTACAATTACAATTATCATTACAAATACATTACCATTACTGCATTTGTATGACAAGAAAACATCTAAAAATTAAGTTATATTTTCTAATCAATAACTAAAACTAAAAAAAATAACGATTACACAGCCCTGTAAAATTTAACTTTTTAAATAATTATGTAATTTTTTAAATTTATAGGTATGTTAAACTCCATCGTGTCGAGATTTTATTATTGAGGACATTATATTTTGGAATTTTTGGCAGTTTGCATGAAAATCCAAAAATTAACTAGTTTAGAATTGAATCTCTACTTAAACAAGTAATTTTTAGCAAAAAAACCGACTTCAATTCTCGTATAAAAAATATAACTAACCTCTACATGAGCAAACACTTATTAGCTCTGATCCAGTGATCCATGAACTTACAGGTTTTTACACAAACTTGCAGGAAGTTACAGGAAAAATTATTCCGTACCTCAAATGAGAGCGATTTTTGGAGACTTGTGTAGAGAATGAAGTTGCAAGATTTTACCCGAACTTTTTCTTCTGGAAAAATCATCAAAAGTGTCAAGCGATCACTGGTTGACGTTTTTACAGGAAAAATACTTTTTTAGTTCCCGTACTTTTTGTTGTTACTCACTTTTTACTCTCGCTTCAGAGAGTAATTTTGCTGTTTGACAGTTTTGCAGGATTTTTCACGAAAAGTATTGGATCAGAGCTAGTATTTGATCAGAGGGTCAATTCCCGTTCTGCGTTATCGTGAAGTGTTAAAAATATCACCTTTATACCGCATTTATTTCGCTGTTAATTTTATACTTTTCACTTCACTTCACGATAACGCAGAACGGGAATTGACCCTCAGAGCTATTAATATGTAAAGTGTTCATTCTTTATTAGAAAACGATATATTCAGATTCGACCAGGGCGAACACCTGTAAGAAAAACCATGACGACCTAGAGACTGATGTCCAAAACGTACTTAAATTATGGAGGGAACACTTTTTCACCCTATTGAATGGCAGCAGCTCTGAAAGTTGTGTAGAAGACGAACCCAAGCCCACAGTCGGTGAAGATGGAGTCGATGTCCGACCGCCTGACTATGAGGAGGTACGAGTAGCGATTACGCGGCTGAAAAAGAGCAAAGCTGCTGGAGCTGACGGCCTGCCAGCTGAGCTATTCAACCATCATACTTCAGATCGATTGAAATTTTTTGTGAGCTTAGCTTGTTAATATAGGCTGCGTTTCTTTATACATTCCGGATAATCGAATTTCACAGCCGGAATAAACAGAATGCGTTTGAAATATACGTTAACATATCATCAGGAACGTTCTAAAGAATAAGTAAACAAAAAAGTTTATTCCAAACGTTCAGAATGAATAAAGAAATACGGCCATAGTGTTATTCACCAAATTGAGAAAGTGGCCTAGCACTCTGGCACTCTGGCAAAAGAGCAGATGAGCTCAATGCAACGACTGTTGACAGCAGAATTCAAGGGTGCTTGCGAATTCTAATGGTCTTAAAGAACTTCCAGCCCATGTTGAAAGTGCTTTGTTGCAAGCAAGGCGTATTTAACACGATGGTGTTAGCCGTATATAAGTAAAAAATAACACTAACAAATTAGATATATGCAGATATCCATACTGTCATTAGTATGAGTTACAACAAACCCATCATTTTGACGTAATGCTCTCCACGGCGAAAAACTCAGCTGGCGCCCCAACACCACCTTGTTAAATACACCATGGTTGGCAAGTATACTTCAGATGGGTTGTCCATTTGACAGCACATTAGTGATATTATAAATAGATGAAATATCTACAGGCAGTCTATTCTGAAGGTCACATCATATGAAAAATGTCCAAAACGTCATTTCCGTGAGTGCGGGCGGCCGAATATATTTGAAGTATGATGAGTTTTTTGATCTTGAGCTCTTGGTCTGCATTGTCTGTTGTTCACCGACGAGGGATAAAACGACAAATGTTAACAGGAAGCAATATAGAGATCGGTGTTATTTTATCAATAATATATTTCGGCAAAAAAGTAAATTCATATGTAGTAGCTAAATAACCGAAGTTGAGACAAGGGCGGCTAGTAATATAGGGTCTAGAACGGCAAAGACTGTAAATCCGCCACTGCATACATATATGTGCATGTATTTTCTATATTATTGACTCTAATCTCTCATTTAAGTTAATCTGCTGTACATTTTATTACGCATAAAAAAAATCGCCAGAAAAACACTTAAATCGCTCTTGTACTACTTTCCTGTGCAAAATAAAATCCCAATCTTGTATGAATTGGCTAAATTACTTACTGATAATATATTAAGCTTTACAATTCATTATAACCAAGTTAAAATTAAAATTTTTGATATTTCGATAAGAGAAAAGTATTTATCCATCTACCGCCAAAAATGGTTAAAGTGAAATAAATTATTTTTCTCATATGTAGCTTATGGCTAAGTATTCTTGTGCATACTTTGCTCATATTCGATTAGGTCTCTCACAACTTACACAATTTACAGTTAATTGATTATTAAGAATTGATAATTTCAGCCACTCACTTCAGTTCTTATTTCACTGGTGTCGCGTCACTTAGAATTTTTGTTATAACTGTTTTCGTTTTTGTTTTTGTAAATAGCAGCTAAGTTATGTTGAATTTTTATAATAATATTCTTCATAAGTTTCAAGAGCCTTTTCATAATTCGCCGCAAGTTAAATTAGAGAGCTATTCGTATTCTGTATATAAAAATTGTCATTCTCTAGGACATATAAATGTACCAAGTGGTTTTTTAAATACACTCGTAAGTGCTTTTTAATGCTTTGTCAAAATCACGTGGACAGGGATTTTCCATTACATCATCATTATTATACTTAACAAATGTCATTCATATCGTCGCCCAAATAAATGTGTAAAAACTAAAATTTTGGGAAATCAAGTTTGAAAGTTTTTTTGACGAGACCTAACTCTATTTATGCAATTGAAATTGTAAAATATGTGGTTTCCGTGTACGCATGGTATTCTGGTTTTCGGTATAACATAGAACATCCAAAGGTTAATCAAGTCAACCTAATAACTCAAAACTGATGAATTTGCACTTTCGGGCATAAGGGCATAAGGGTGACGATACATATTTTTTTATTTAAAGTTCCAATTTCTTTTGATTTTAACAGAAAGTGCAATTTACAATTAAAATTTATGGCTTTTAAAATGTATAACGTTAATGAGCTTTAACAAAAGGGTTGATTAAAAGACGGTTCTAAACGTAGCACGTATTTCGTTGCCACAACCGGGTTTAAATTAAAAAAATTTCAGTGCATCTTTTAAAAACTTTTTTTTTATGAAAAATAAAATCTAATAAAATTCTCAAGGAATACATATGTATGTAGCTCATGAACGAAAATTAATTATTCTCTGATCAAAGCGAAAGCGAATGAGATAAAAGTAATGTATATCAATAAAAATTACGACTTTGCCAGGTTGAAAGTATACATAAGCCAAATTTCTTGGATTTTTTTTTATTATTTTCGTGTTTTAAAGGATTTCGAGCTTAAAAGAACTTAAAAGAATATAAAAATAACATAATATAAAATTAATATAAAAAAGAGTGGAAAATAAAATAAAATTGTCAAGGAATGCATAGCTTATGAGAGAAAATTTATTATTCTCTGATCAAAGCGAAATGTGGAAAAAATTAAGAAATTCGATATAATGGATTTTATGTACAACTTTCGTCTTTTCTTGGGGGCGAGGGGTGACTATTCATAAAGCGGCGTCCATCCTCTTTCGTTTAGGGGGCGTTGGCGACCCTCTCCCTCCGCCCCCACCCCTAAATCGTTGTACAAATTGCTAAAGATTTCCCAAACTGCGTACTCAAAATACTAAATAAGTTTGAAAAATTAAAATTTTAAAACTTTTTAATTAATTGCAAAAATGTTCGGAAACGCGTCATCAAAAACAATTTTTCGAATAACTGCAAAAAATGACGTTCGGCAATGCATCATCAAAAACAATTTTTTCGAATAATGGAATGACGAAAAAAGAAAAAAATCATCAAGTGCACCCTGCGAATTGGCAACCCTTTGCAGTGCCGAAGAGGACAGACATTTCTGGTCCCAACTCTGCCAGGTTTTACTGTACTACAGAAGGAACTGAAAATTTTCAGTAGCCGCAATTTTTCGATTTTAAAGAGTTACCCTGTGTCGGCGTACAGCTGATTTTCAATCTTCGAAAGCAGAAGGGAGGCGGCACAAACAAATTTTTTACTCATCTCGTTTGCCAGTATTTTTTAACAAAAAATAAACCAAACAAAAAAATATAATACAGAAAGTTGCAACGTGAAAAAATTCTGTGAAAATTGTTCTATCTTATTTGATAATTAAATATAATTAAGCTATCACCGTAAAGATGATGGTAAGACATATGTATACTGATTATTTAATTTGTTGAATATTTTATGCGAAAAATCTTTGTTATTGGATTAAGTTATTCCATTTGTTAATAGTCAATCAAGTTGAAATGTTCCTATTTACAAGGTTTTATTCATTTTGTATTCGGCTTTGTTGGATTGTGATTAGCTTTTCTTTGATATCAGCGGTTCGAATGAGTCAAAGTCATCCGGCGACCCAGTTCCTCCCTTTTTAGCGGACGTGCCGCTTATCGTCGTTTATCAGTTTCTTTTGTAAAAGTTTAAAATAAGTATACAAATAAAATAGGCGTCAATGCTGCAATAGTGACGAAAATATGTGATATCTCGCAATTCAGAGTTTTAGCAGTTTGCCGTATACATACAATTTATATACACACATATGCACTTTCTACTTCCTTAAAAACTAAATTAATTAACAATTGTTTCTCCATTATTCCATTATTAGGACGGCACGGATGACACAACGGCAATTGAAAATTTGCAACAAAGTGTGCCTTTAGGGGTCGACATCATCACTCCGACCAGTAAACCCACTATAATGGAGATTGCGTCTCCAGCGGTGCAGCGAGAAAATGACGTTGGTAACCCCTTAACAACGACCACAAATAATGGCAGTGGTACAGCCACTTCAGAATCTTCTTCATCAGCTATTACTCCTGCCGCTCTAGCGGAGAACACGTTGCATGTGGAGATTTCTGACGCACTGAGCGAAAAGGACAAAGTTAAGTTCACTGTTCACACTCGCACCACATTGCCCGGTTTTGCTAAACAGGATAATAATGTGGTACGTCAGCATGAGGAATTTGTTTGGCTGCATGACCGCTTCGAAGAGAATGAGGAATATGCTGGCTATATCGTAAGTTCATAATATGTACACATTTGAAAAGAAAAATAAATTAAAGTTTTTAAAAACACTAAAATCAACTATGACTTTTACAGATACCGCCATGTCCGCCACGCCCAGATTTTGATGCCTCACGCGAAAAATTGCAACGACTCGGTGAGGGCGAGGGAAACATGACTAAAGAGGAGTTTAAGAAAATGAAATCTGAACTCGAAGCGTGAGTACAAGCGTTTCATTTTATGTATCATTTTTTTATAAAAATGTATCTGTATACCTTAGCGAATACCTGGCTACTTTTAAGAAAACCGTAGCAATGCATGAAGTATTCTTGCGTCGGCTCGCAAATCACCCAGTATTCCGTGTAGATCAGCATTTGAAAGTGTTTCTCGAATATGACCAAGATCTCTGTGCAAAGCCACGCAAGAAAATGGCTATTTTCGGTGGATTTGTTAAATCGTTGGGCAAGACAACGGATGAAATATTAATGAGCGCAACAGTTCGGGATGTAAATGACTTTTTCGAAAATGAGCTACAATTTCTCATTGAATATCATGGACATTTACGTGACGCCGCAGTGCGTACTGAGAAAATGACTCAGCGCCATAAGGAAGTCAGCGAATGTCATCAAAAAATTTCGAATGCCCTCATGCAACTATCGACAGCAGAGAAAGGGAGCATGGAGACCTTTTGTGCCAAATCAGCTGAGATCTTTGAGAAGATTAAGGTAGTAACTACATATTTGCTGTTAACTATTAGAATTTAATATCACCTTATAATGGCTGGGAACTTTACAGAATTTAGAAGCACGTGTCTCTAGCGATCAGGACTTGAAGCTGGGGGATACTTTGCGTTACTATCAGCGGGATAGCGATGCAGCCAAAGCACTATTAATACGCCGTTTACGCTGCCTGGCCGCGTATGAGGCGGCCAATCGTAATTTAGAGAAGGCGCGTGCCAAAAACAAGGACGTACATGCTGTAAGAAATGTTACTTAAATTATATTTAATTATAATTTTTTGACCTGTTTAAAATGCTTTCATACTGCCATTTTGTAATAGTGTGCAAAATTTGTTTAGTATTCATCACTGTTTACTTAAACTTTTACATACATGTATACCATATTTTTGCTTTCAACACCCACTGTCTAAAAATATTTACAACTTTTTTGTACTAGTTTTAAAATAAAAAATTTTCTATTCACACTTTTTAAAATGCAATCTATACAAAAAACCAAACAAACTACTTTCAACGAATTCATGTGCAGCCTTTGGATGTTCAAGAGGTACTTGGTGTAATATTTGTTTACTCAGCATATATGTATGTATGTATGTAGTTTATCCATAAATATGTGTCTCCTAACGGTTTTATGTGTTTGTTATGTTACCTATTATCCACAACTTCACCAATCTACTGTAAACTGCACTATAAGAGCACAAAGATACTCATAAATTTTGTCCTTTGTTTAATTTAATTATTAACACCCCGCATGCAGTTTGAAACAGTCAAAATAATATTGCTTGTAAAAGTATTTTTTTTTTTCTAAGTAAAATGTTTAAATTTAAATATTATTATGTTTCAATATTCTCCAAACAACAGGCCGAGACAGCGCAAGCAGAAGCATGCGAGAAATTCGAATCCATGTCTGCCTGTGGAAAAGAAGAATTAGTAGGATTTCGTAATCGCCGTGTAGCTGCCTTCAAAAAAGGGTATAATATTTGCATTTAACAAACTATATAAGCAAGACATTAATTAAATATTTTGCCTTAAAGGTTGGTTGAACTTGCGGAACTGGAAATCAAACATGCACGTACTCAATATGAATACCTCCGTCAATCGCTCTTGGCATTGAAAGAAGTCGCCTGAATTGCGTACATACATACTTGTTACAATCTTCTCAAGATCTACGTTCATTTTTTTCGTACATATACTATATCGAAAATATGTTATTGCCACGCTATCTAATATCAATTTATACTTACATATATAAAATATATAAAGGTAGATATTTCATACTGTTAAAGTATTTCTAAAAATTGTATTTATCAGCTCTAAGCGCATTGATTTTATACGACGAAGTAAGAGGAGAAAACAGTCTAAGATAAAATTATTCAAAAACTCATGGTATTCGAAAAGCATTCCAAAGTGCTTAAATTATTTAATTATGAATAAAAATATTTACCTTATATTATGGATTTGAACGTCTCTTACTTTACAGCTTCAAGATTGACTCAGCAATAGATTTCTCAATAATCGAAAAATTAATAAATACTTAAAGAGTATAACTTAATATTGCGGAGAGCCACCTACATTTTATTTGAACCGCATTGGAGTTAATTCCTCATGTTGATCTACTAATCTTAATTATAGTGTTTAGCATAGTTGAACACTGAGGAACTTAAAGAAAGTAAAAAATATTCTACAAAATAATAAGATACCGTTAACCCCATATTTCTAAAACCAAACTGTAGCAACAACATGTTACGACACAAAAATAACACTGGTGAAACCTTAGTAACCGTTATTTATCTATTAATGCAAAATATGCTTGAAATAATTAATTTACATATACCGGCGCCAGACAGGGGAAAACACAAAATTTGTATTTTTCTTCTAATTTTAATTCGTAAAACTTTTAATATTTTTTCTATTGTACATTTCTGAAATAACAAAAAGGTTTTGAATCTCGGCATTATGAACGACTTTGGATTCATTGATTACAAAAAGCCAAGTGATGAGTGTAAGGACGATATGCGTACCTCAACCTATCGCAGTCATGTTTACATGACTGACACAATGATAGGAAATCATACGCATGCGAAAATCAAAGAATCGAAACCATATAAACTGGATCCAACCTTAGAGGAAATGCGCACCAGCGATTACAAAGCCAATTACACATGGAAGGTGAAAAAAAATGCAGTTTTTAAACAACAGACCAATTTATCTCATTACTTATTCATTACAGTATGCCGATCCAAATAACATTATAAATCCATCGCTTGGTCCAAAAGTGCAATCGATGAAAAGCTTTGAAGATTGTCGTTTACGTTTCATAAGTCGCCCAATGCGTCCAGCCAGTAGTGTGATGCGTCAGGATTACCTTTGGAAGCCGCGAGCACCGCCTGACCCACCTACGCCTTCACCCATACCACTGCCATCTCCTGTAGCCGCTTCAAGCTTGGTAGTTAATCGCGCTAAATCCGGCTATTCGAAATTGCTCGATCCTGCAGCGACAACTTCACGCCTGGATTATGTCCATTACACACCACAAGAGGTGATGGCAAGTGTAGCACGAAAAGACAATATAACATTCTGGAATTGGAATGAGAAGGCAGCACCAACCAAGCGTGTATTTCTTGGCAGTGACGAGACATTGTGCAATGAGAAGTCTGCAAAGGAGTGCCCAAAACGGCGTTGTGAATTCCCCAGTCCAGTACAACGTGTGCCCAACTCAGGTATGACTACCGAAGTGCGTGCCAACTTTGTAGAGCCAATCAAGCGTGTTATAGATTTTCCCACGGCCCATATACAGAATTGTTTGGTATATGATCCGATAACGCCATCACCAAAAGACACCGAATATAAATTATATGGATCCGGAGAGCGTACGCAGAAGTTCGTCTGAAAAGAGAAGGTACTTTTGCATCAAATCTGATCACAAGTATTAGTGTTTAAATAAATACTCATCTTTTTTGATATCTGAAATCGTTAGTCTACAGTTTTTGGTATGTTTTAAAAGGTATAGCATATTTTGCGGCACCAGTTCACAAAATATTTTTTCACAGATAAGTCTGACCGGCAGCCCTATTCGCACTAAACAAAACATGCGAAAGGACTAATCATCTTGGGACTAAACATAACTTTGGCGCCTAAAAATATGCAATAAAAACTTCATTGTACTTTATACAGTGTGTGCCAGTCAAAATGACACAGCGCAATTTCAGCTGTTTCTTATTTGACGCCAATTGGAAATGCCAAGTGAAGCCAAGTCCTTCTCCACTTGGCTTTTCCACCACAGTGGGGCCTCTCTCCTCCTCTGCTACCACCAGCGGATTCCGAGTTGAATACTTTTAGAGCTGGAATGTCGGTGTTCATTCGAACAACATGGCCAAGCCAGCGGATTCGCTGTTGTTTAATACGCTGCACTATGTTCATGTCATTGTAAAGCTCCTACAGCTCATCGTTCCATCGTCTGCGGTACTCGCCGTCGCCAATGCGTAAAGGCCCGTGAATCTTCCGCAAAGTCTTTCTCTTGGATACTCCAAGAGCCGCCTCATCGGATATTGTCATTGTCAATGGGTCTGCGCCATATACCAGCACCGGCATGATGAATGACTTATAGAGTGTGGTTTTCGTAAGTCGGGAGAGAACTTTACTCCTTAATTGCCTACGCAGTCCACTGTAGCACTTGTTGGCAAGCGTGATGCTGCGTTGAATTTCGATGCTGATATTATTATCGGTGAATATTCACGCACGCCGTCAATTTACTGTTAAAAATTTCTCGTGTACATAAAAGTTGTATGGGACCCAGCCGAAATTGAACGGCGCGCGTGTGAAGCTAACTCAATTTCCAATTTTTGTTCTGCGTGACATTTTTATTTGACGTTTCGCTCAATGAAATCAAATGCAAACGCACGCAAGCCAACTTCGGGTGACGCAAAAACAAAACAAACCCGACGGCGTGCGTACCAAAACGCAAGCCGCGTATAAAAGGCTAGCCTGTCAATGCTGGTTTCCAAGTAAACGAAATTCTACACATTCTCGAAATTATAACTGTCAACATTGATGTGAGCGCCAAGACGCGAATGCGCTGACTGTTCTTTTAATGACAGAAGATACTTCGTGTTGTCCTCGTTGACCACCAGATCCAATCACTTTGCTTCCTTATCCAACTTGCAAAAGGCAGAAGAGACCTCGCGGTTCTTATTACCGATGATGTCGATGTCATCGGCATACGCCAGCAATTGTACGCTCTTGTTTAAAAATTTACCTGAGCGGTTCTGTTCTGCAACTCTAATTTTCTTCTCCAACATGAAATTAAAGAAATCTCATAAACCCCCGCTTGCTAGAAAAAGGCTTGGAGAGGTCTTTCCGAATTCTGACGGAGCTGGCGGTATTGCTCAACGTCATTTTACACAGCCGTATCAGTTTTGCGGGAATGCCAAATTTAGACATCGCGGTGCATGGGCCGCTTTTAGAGGTGTCGAAAGCGGCTTTGAAGTCGACAAATAGGTGGTGAGTGTCGATTCTTTAGGCGTATTTCGAACGCCTGGTCTATGGTGGAATGGCTATGTCTAAAGCCACACTGATAAGGCCCAGTCAGTTCGTTGACGGTGGGCTACAGTCTTTCACACAATACGCTCGATAAGACCTTGTAACCTATGCTTATAAGGCTGATCACGTGGTAGGTGGCGCGAATAGCGGGGTCGTCTTTCTTGTGGATTGGGCAGAGCACACTTGAATTCCAGTCGTCGGGCATGCGTTAATCTGACCATATTCTACATTAGAGTTGAAATAGCTCAGCTGGCAGGTTGTCAGCTCCAGCAGCTTTGTGGGTTTTCAGTCGCCTTTGTTCTTACAAGAGTTCATCCTGGTCTTGAAATCTTCCGTAAGTCGCCTAATAAAAAACGGAATTTTTGCAACCCAACGCACATGTGCAGAGGTATATTAAAACTTAGTTTACATAATGTCTGTTGGTAATAGATAACGATGAAAATTCACGATTTTTATAAAATATCCGAAATTGAGTTACATTTGTGAGCAGCCTTTTTTCTCGCATTCCTCAGAACATAAAAATGAGAGTCTAAAACCCCCAAGCTTTGGGTCAAATCGCTCAAGAAGTAGTACCTTAATAAAAATTACATTTTAAAAATTTCCAACCTTTGTAGATTTTAGCGTGTAAATTAAAAATTTGAACCGTTAGTTTTGTTATAACTAATAATAGATTGGCGCTTACACATATGTTAGTGCTTGGCCGAGCTTCTCCTCCGATTTGTGGCGTGCGCCTTGATGTTGTCACACAAAGAGGAGGGACCTACAGTTTAACGCCGACTCCGAACGGCGATTGTATTTTTATGAGAAGCTGTTTTCCATGGCAGAAATACACTCGGAGGTTTGCCATTGCCTGCCGAGGGACGACCGCTGTTATAACTAACTATTTACTAATATTTACACATACATGCGTTTACACGTATGCGTGGTATTAATGAAGGTATAGAAACCAGACTTGACAGTGCATATATTTGTGGCGGCAACAATAAGCCAGTACCGCAAAATGTCCCCATCTCAAAAGATTTCCCCGCATAAGTATGTTCACTTTTGCTCCATAGTGTACCTATATATATATGCATGAACTTTGTTTTATTGGCTGAAAAGCAATATGGTTTAGCAGGTAACAAATTTGCAAGGCTTATCGCAGAGATAAAAACGTTGCATTTTAGTTAATGCATATTAACGTTAGAACTTGGTCATAAAACACATACATAGGTAAGAATGAATGTAGGCAGTGGCGGATACAGAGCAGAGCTCGAAAAAGCAAAATTTCGTATAAAATATATTACCTCAAACGAGAAAATTAAAAAAAAAAATGTTTAAAAGTTTTTTTTTTTTTTATTTTAATCTTCAATTGTAACCATCTTTTAGGCTTGGACAAGATTACTTTTAGAATAAGAAATCGTGTAAAACTCTTCGTCAACGTGAAAAATTAAAACAATGGGTATGTATTAGAGGTTTACGCCGATAGATATTGCGGCGGCGGCGTCGTCAATGTTAGAAATAATCGGCGGCGGCGGCGACGCCGGCGCCTCAAATAGCGCCGGCGCATCTGGCCATTAGCCACATACCAAAGAGCATAGAAAACCATGAAGCTGCTAAACTTATCCTATCATTTTGTGAGCGTCAGCCATTCACCACTCTTATTCAAGTTGGAATTTTTTTAAATTCCATTTTTAAAAAAAAGTTTTTTGTTAATAATTTTAAAATAGTTAACAATATTAACCTTCCACCATCGAAATATGATTATGAGGATCGAAACGCGTCGATTGCTACCTCTCACGACAAATTTGGACGCAATTGTACGATATAGTTCAGTGTTAGTATATCATGAAAATTTTGTACATTAATCCTTAGGCGCCGCACGCCGCCGCCGCCGCCGCCGCGCCGATATTTCTATGACTCGGCGGCGGCGAGTGAAAAATGACAAAAAACGGCGGCGGCGGCGGCGTGGCTCGGCGGCGTATACCTCTAGTATGTATGTAGATACTATGAATGTATGTATGTATGTCAAATCGAACTTTCTGATACTACTTTTTGTCCATTTCCGCGGTGCACGTATGTAGGAAATTTCACTTTCAACTGTGTAACCAGACATTTGTATGCGCATAAAAATGTTAATGACTTGAAAAATATAATAAAAATTAAAAGGCTAAATTTAAAAATTTAAAAGTTAAATTAAAAAATTAAAAACTAAAAGTTTACTTTTCCAAGCGCCCTCACTTGACTCGAATCGTGCTAGCGAAGCAGTCAATGGCACTGTGAATATTTTTTGAAATTATAGAGAAAATTAAAACTAATATTATACCACAAAACACTTTACTTCACACTTCATAAAAATACTCGAACCTATAATAATAATAATATATATATTGGCGCTGACACATACGTAAGTGTTTGGCCGAGCTTCCCCTCCGATTCGTGGTGTGCGCCTTGATGTTTTCACGCAAAGAGGAGGGACCTACAGTTTTACGACGACTCCGAACGGCGATTGTATTTTTATGAGACGCCATTGCCTGCCGAGGGGCGACCGCTGTTAAGAAAAATCATTTTTTTCTAGGGTTGCCAGATTTTTTATGCGCGAAATCAGTACGTTAGACTTTTTCATGCTTAAAAAAACAGTACTATTCTGTACATTTTTATTCAAAGCAAAATAATGAATGTAAGTAACATACAATATTTTAAAACGCCCGAGTACTTCTTTTTAATAATATTTTGGTATATAAATAAAATATAGTTCATAAAGAATAAGTGCTATTCATTTCAACGTGAGTCTGCACATTATTGTACACAGAAGCCAATAAATTGTTTTATATTGATGACATTTTTGAATATAAAAAATGAGATCATTTACATTTTCAGTATTTAAATAGTGAAACATTGCATTTTGAAAGTAATTTTAATTGGAAGTTCACTTTCAAAAAATTTAGTTAGAAGCCGGTTTCTCTCTGCGCCAGGAAGCAAGCTTTATACTCAAGATTCTCTCAATTGCTTCGTTTGAGAGTGGTATTGAAAGAAAAAAAAATTTACGTATTTGTTAAATCCGTGGAAAAGTACCTCTATTTAAGGACTTCACCAATATTTCCTCATGTACTAATAATTCGTCTTGTATTCAAAACTCTTTTACAATGTCAATAAATTGAGAAAAAAGAATTGTAAGTTATAGGCAAAAGAAATTCGAATATTCAAACTTGTTGTTATAAAAATGAAAATTATTTTCGAGATAACTAACAACACTCGACAAAACAACGTCAGCCTTCTTTTTAAATAATTTAAGCTCCATCATATTATCGCAACTGGTACATAACGACCCGGCGATATGCCCATAAAACAATTGATCTTTTTGTTGTATTAATTTCGTGGGCATATCAAACATTATCTGAAACATGTCAATTATAATTAAATTATTTTCTTCTTACATTTTATAGTACAGTTTAAGGAAGTACACTACAGCTGATCGTTTGACACATTTACTAGAATTTACCAGCGAAAAATCTTCGAACTAAAACTGGCAACTTCTGACAGAGAGGGGACCTTATTTACTCTCTTTTTTTGTCCTCTCAATAGTCAGAGAAGCGATTACGGGATCGCTTTCCAGTAAAATCTGACTGGTTCTGACTATTTCTGACTAGCCCGGCCTCGAACGGGATCGCAACTAATATTAGTCGAGTATTACATAATTGCAGACATCAACACTCGAAAGAGCAATTATACAGGTAATAGGTTTGTTCGTCGAGCAAAAAATTTGTACGAATTTGTACGAATTATCACGATTTTTGCCCAAATCGCGTTCGTGCAGACCAAAAAATTATCCAACACTCAAAAATTGTGAGAGCAAAGTGACAGTTCTCTTGGAGAGAAGTTGCAAATTCTTGCTGGAAAAAATTTTGCCAGCAAGAATTTGCAAACACGAAAAACATGTGGTTGTGGCGCATGGTTGCATTTTTGTCTACAATAATTTGAATAAATTAGTTCGTTAAATTTAAAAATTTATAAACACGAGCGATTTTTTTATGAAAAAAGGAAGTAAATAATTGTTGATATAATTAATTTAGTTAATTCCAATGATTTGAACTTAATTCGGCTGAAAAAAATGGTATTCGCAATCGGAATGCAATTGCAACCAGAGTCGATTTAAGAAACCCGACAGCTAGTACGATGAAGAAATTGAAATGTATGTTAAAGAAAGTCAGAACAACAAGAAATATACATGTATATCCTGTTTTTGGCCATCCGAAAGAATTTTAAAAATTCTATAAAAATTTTTTATGTTTGAAATGCAACCGTGGACGCCAGCTGGCAGCGAAACTTGCAAATTCCTGCAAATTTGCGTTCGTGCAGAAATTTGCAAGTTTCTCAACATGAGAGAGAATTTGAGAGAATTTTTTCTTACTCTCTGATATTTTGAGTGTTGGATAATTCTTGCTGGATTTTCGACGAACAAACCTATTATCTATTAGATAGTTACGTGCTTCACGAAGTGTCGTTAAGTGTCACATTTCATAAATTTAAAAAAAAAGTGTAAGGTACTCATAATACAACCAAGCACATCCATATATATAACATATATTTAACCGTTATTCGAGTATAATTTATAGCATACGGCACTATGCCACTTCACTATGTTAATACATTCCATGATAAGTGCATTACAAGGTAAAAATCATTCCCTCACGTTTTCAAACATTTTGGAATCATATAAAATCTATACCATGATAAAAATATTTAAAGGTGAAACCATGATAAAAACATAACAAGGTAAAACCATTGAGAGGCAGTCTGACGTTTGCCAACAATATAATTTTAAAATCAAAACTCAAACTCACACACACATTCTCATTTTCAATCTCAAACAACAACAATTGTGAACAATTTAATTTTTTTATTTTCACCTTTATATGATTTTAAAATGTTGGCAAACGTCAGAAAAAAATCATGGCCGACGAATTGAGAGAATGAATTTACCTTGTAATGTTTTTATCATGGGTAAAACCGCTCGCTCAATTCGTCCGTCATTGGGCTTTTTTGACGTTTGCTAGCATTTTGAATTTACTCTCTCGAAATAATTCAAATGTCAAATAAATTAAAAATAGACAAATCAAAATTTATGATTTGAAAATTTATTTATTCAAATGTGGGAAGAACTTAAAAAATATATAGTTGTTTAAGCTCCCGCTATTACCGTATGTACGCAAAAATTGATCGAGGTTTGTGGTGTTAATGCAGCGGATTTTCCCAAGTGCCTATTTTTTGCCACACCACTTGACTCAAGATAATTCTAAGCAAAAGTGCAGTGGCTTAAAGGTTAAATTTGTTTTAATGTATGCCAAAATCTTCGCCTTAGCATGTGCTACACACAATTGCTTACATTTATTTTTTTACATACATACATACACACAGAAATATATTTCTTTGGTTTGAGCAAGGTACATTGAACAGGTAGTATCAGTAGAGCAGCTGATTTGATTTATTTTCAAATTATTTGGTCTCGAAAATGTCAAATATTTTTAATTTTTTCCACGAAAATTATAATTTGTTAAAATCCATTTGCTTGTGAAACCTTTTTCCATACAAAACAAGCGATTGAATAGCAGCTTTTGGAACGTTCGCCCAACTCGGCAGCACGACCGCTGATTACTGGGCCTTGCAAAGGATGGATCAATGCTTCGAGAAGCAAACAAATTTACTAGGAAAGAAAGTTGCATCAATTTTTATTTTTTCCAATTTCAATTTTTTATTTTTTATAATTTTTGTATTTCACATGGCACGCTTTGATTTTGAAGAAAAAATTCTGAACAGTTGTTGACACTTTCGATACCAGAAGCAACAACAAAATACACGCAAATGTTGTTTTTGCTCTACTGATACTACCTGTTTAATGTGCCTTGGGTTTGAGTGAAAATAAAAACAAACAAATGAAATGGAGGCGAGAGAAATTTTAAAAAATGCAAGCAAGCGTCGAAATTCCAAAAGCTGGCTCTCAACGATTGTACCGTATAAATATCTTGATCATGGTTTTACCTTTAAATATTTTTATCATGGTCACTAGTGAGCAAACCAGGGATGAAAAAGTAGGTACAATTGTACCTTTTTCCGACGTTTGATGACTAAAAGGTACATTAGGTACAATCACTGGATTTTAGGTGCAATCTTTGATCAGATTCATTTTTCTTTTTCCTTTACCGTGTCAATATATTTATTTGTAGGCATGGGAGAAGCTTTGCATTCATTTTGAAGAATAAACAATTCTAAAGAAAAGTGGTCGAACGGAAGAAATTAAAAAACTAATTATATGTATTCTCTTAAACATTTTACATTGCATTTATAATGGCCACTACGAAAAACTAACACTTTACTTAGCTATCCTCGAATTCGTAATTCTTGTTATATTTTCTTATAATCGAAATTTGAGATAATTTCTACCAAAAAACGTCATTGCACCCTAGACCGACACCCATTTCGAATGATGGTGGGTGTGAAATCTACAAACGCTCTACCTTTGCAATTGGTGGAATGCATTTTTTAATCTATTGAAACCATAAAAGCCAAAGTTCCCCGCATATGAAAACATGTCTACTTTTGTATTAATTTTATTCGCACGCTCAGCCCTTTGTCTAGGATTCGTCAAATTGCATATTTTCTGTAGTTGAGACGATAGCCATATGCGGTTTTTTTATTTCTGGAAATATACGTATTTAAAATGCTTTCGAAGTTACTTTCGGCACATCCGATTATTTTCTCTAGACTTCCTACACCTATTAAAGGGAATCGAATAAATTAGCCGGTTTTTCCTGGTGTTTTATAAAAAGCTGGATAAAAAACGAAAACTTCCCAAAGTGTGTTTTTTGTCTTTTTCCCCAGTATTTTTCAGTAGTCAAAATTCGACAAAAACAAAACTTCTCCGATTCTCATTAGACTATTATAGTCTTTAGATATAAGCTCAGATTTAAAAAAAAAAAACCGAATCAAGTTAAAGGCATGATAAAAATATAGTAAGGTAGAACCGCTGAGAGTCACTTTTAAAATTCTTGACGTTTCCAAACAATTTAATTTTTAAATTTACTCACAAACTCACACACACATTTTCATTTTCAATCTCAAGCAACAACAATTTCGAACATTTTCAATTTTTTATTTTCATTTTTATACGATTTTAAAATGTTGGCAAAGTTCACAAAAAAATCATGGCCGACAAATTGAGAGAACGGTTCTACCTTGCTATGTTTTTATCATGGTTAAAAGTACATCCATCTCTTGTATTCTTACATATTTTAAATAAAATTAATAAAAAAATCTACAAACAAATGATGTAACTTTTTTTAGCTACACTCTGTCTCATTTAGGTGCATTTATTTTATGATATTAGGTACAATCTGAAATTTCCATTTTTCATCCCTGTAGCAAGCCTTTAATTATTGAGTCATGGTTAATACAATCTCGTTTGCTTGTTTCGATTTTTCATCAAAGAACACATTAAAACAGCATATATGTAATTCAAATTATTGCTAAAATATTTATATATGTATTTACATATGAACACAAATGATAAAATTCAATTAACTCTACTACATAAATAAAACAGTGAATATCCACATTATTTACTACAATTGCAACCATTTACTAGTGAGGTCCATTGATAAAACATTTACAACACAAGCACATACTTCCATATGTACATACATTTTGTATTGATTAATAAATTGCTTTCTTTGCATGTCCACACGATTTATCAATTCTTCTTGAACGTGCGAAAACCATGAGGCAGCAGATTATAAATGGATGTGGCAAGTACCAAATCATTGTTGGCCTTCTCCACATTGACTTGTGATTTTGTTATGAAAAGCGGTATGTCGTTTGGCGCAAACTCCATAATGAATTGCCGGCATACGCCACAAGGTGTTGTAAAGGCATCCTCTTGATAAGCGACTACTGCACCGGCAACGAATTCATTGTAACCCTCGCTAACGGCCTTACTTAGGGCTGTACGTTCGGCACATGTAGTTGGTGTAAAACTTGCATTCTCAATATTACAACCGGCAAAGATGCGGCCGTCTATCGTGCGGAAAGCTGCACCAACGTAAAAGTGACTGTATAAAGCGTAAGCGTTTTTTTGTGCAACAATTGCTGCCTGTATCAATTCCTTGGTTGGTTCATCTGCAATGGAGCATTCATGAAAATATAAATACATACGTACATACATACATATTTATGCTTTGATAACTATGTAGACAAACATAAACTTAGCCATTTGTTTAGCCATCAACATTTGTGCACAGAATTGTATATGTATTAAACTTTTTTCCAAATTCATTTACCCATCAACTACTCACCCAAATCACAGTATTTTTCAATGCGTTCAACAAATTCTGGTTTTCTTAAACCCGTCACTTGGTAAATATCCATTTTGGTGGTAATTTTTATGTTGATTAATATCTATTTTAAAATTTTAAGAGCACAATTTCGTACCAATTTTCTTATTCCGTGCGTTTTTTTGTGCGTCTTCTAGACTCTTCAATTTGTGATGACCAACTGAATGATTTCTGTTTTCTTTCACAAACACCTTTCTAGCCAAGAACTAATTAAATAGTATGAAAAAAATCTATTTGTAGTTTCTGGTTTCTTTGGGGTTCTCTTCGCCTTATCAATGACTACCACTACACACAAATATATAATACAGACGAATTTATTACCAACCAACTGCTGCATGTTGGCTGAGAGAGTTTGTAGAGAACACATGAACCGCCACCAATGCTATGGGTAAATACCCTGCTGGGAAATCGATTAGTGACGAGCGTAACGGGGTATTAAAAATCAGATATTTACAATATACATACATATGTTCCATATTTTGGCACTCGTACTATTTTTAAACGGCTGACCGTTAAAATTTGTAAAGACGAATAAAATAATTTATAGGCGTCATTGATTGGCGCTGTAATCGCCCATACGATTCTGACCTAGTCCAACAAAGCATGCCAGTGGTTTCTTTTATGTGCCAAGTGACGTCAATTGGAAATACCAAGTGAAGCCAAGTCCTTCTCCATCTAGTTTTTCCATCGCAAACGAGGCCTTTCCTCTACCTCTGCTACCAGCATCGCGAGCCGCGTTGTATACTTTCAGAGCTGGAGCATTTCCATCCATTCATAAGACATAACCGAGTCAACGGAGGCCCATAGCCAACTTCAAGAGCAGTCCCATCAGATGTTTTAATTATCCATGCCTCCGCGCCATACACCAGCACGGGCATGATGAGTGACTTATAGGGTGTGATTTTTGTACGACGAGAGGGGATTTCATTTTTTAATTACCTGTTCAATACAAAGTGGCACTGCCAACAAGTGATTTTCCGTTGGACATCAAGGCTGACATTATTATTTGCGCTAATGTTGGTTCCTAAATTAACGAACTCGTTTACTCCGTCCACAAGTGGCATGGAGCCGGGACACATATACTTTCTAATGACAGAAGATACTTCCTTTTGTCCTCGTTCACTACCAGAGCCAGGCGCTTTGTTTCTCTAACTAATCCCGAAAAAGACAGTACAGAAGTAGCCCTTATTTTTATCGATGATGTCAATGCTGATAGCATACGCGAGCAATTGTATGCTCTTGTAAACAATTTCGTCTGACCGGCTCCATAATGCGACTCTTATTACATTCTTCAACAAACGGTTCGGAGAGGTCCTTCCCAATTCGGATGGAACTGGTTGTTTGATCAATGTTATTTTACACAGGCATATTAGTCTCGCGGGAATGACAAATTCGGGCATCGCGGTGGATCGGAAAGTCCTTTTAGTGCTGACGAAAGCGGCTTTGAAGTCGACAAATAGGTGGTAAGTTGCGATCCTTTTCACACGGGTATTTTCCAAGATTTGGCCTATTATTAATATCTGATTTATAGTGGTTTTCTCAGGCCTAAAGCCACACTAATAACGTCGTTGATGGTGGACTTCAATATTTCACACAATTCGCTCGATAAGATTTTATACCCGATGCTTAGAAGGCTGGCACCACGGTAGCGAATTGGGCAGAGCGCATTTAAATTCTATATAGTCGTCGGGCATGCGTTCATCTCTACCGCCGTATTTCAATTGCTCGGATGGCAGTCCGTCAGCTCCAACTTTCCTTGCATTGCTGGACGTCCTTTTTTTCTGTACAACGGCGTGTGCGTATCTTGGTTGCACGTACGTCTATGCACGTGACTTCTTAGTATACAGTAACCCATCATAATACCATTTAATATCCTTAACCTCTCTTTGGGGAGGTATGTATATATGTAATTGCCCTGTATCTTGCAAGGATATAGCCTCCGAGTACGATTTTAGCCTGGCGTATTACGTCAGTGTTGTTCTCTGAGTTTGTTCCTCTCCTTCCTGAGTTCTTCCTTGATTGCGCTGGTGCGATCGCAAGGAAGTGCCGTACGGTTGGGCGGTCCGATTCCTCGTTACCCTCAACTCCAATGTGGTTTGGTACCCAAATTAGTTGGATAATGTTATGCTCGTTGCACTCATGGATCAAGGAGGATTTAATGGGAGGGCCTTCAATGCCGCCTGGCTATCACTCAATATTAGGATTCTCTCACTACAGTGGGACTAAAGATCTCTTGGCCACCCTATTATTGAAATCGCCAAGCACGATTTTTATATCGTGACGGGCAAAGCGCTCGTATGTGCGCTACAAACGCTCATAGAAGAGATCGTGGATTTCCTCGTCCTTCGCTTCCATCGGGGCGTTGGAATGAGAGATGTTGTAGAACCTCGCTTTGATGCGAATTGTGACTAAACGCTCGTCCACCGGTGTGAACCACGAATTCAGCACCGAATTTGCGCTCCTTTACATGGCAGCTGTAGTAGACTTCGGAAGGCCCCAGTTATTTTTCCGTCCAACGCATTTCTTGGATGGCGGTGATGTCAAATTTTGTGCTTACGATGATATCAAGCAGCCGGACAGCGGCATCTCCCCATTAACGGTCCGGACATTCCTGGTGGATGCCCTCAAAGCGTAGTCTTTTAAACGTAAAAACGTAGTGTACACAAGACAACATAAAAAAGTATTCGCCTAATGGGACACCCTTAACTGTTCCCAGATATGAAGTAGTGAAATACTTTATCTACTTAGTATTCAGCATTAACACCACCAGTAACGTCAGTCTGCTGTTCAAGCGAAGAATAACTCTTAAAACAGGTACTACTACGGGTTCGGTAGGCAATTGAAAGGCAGAGGGTTTTTTCGACGAACCAAAGTTACGCTCTATCTATAAGATAGGGAATATGTGCTAAGTTTGTTGATACAATTTATAAAATATATTCATAAAATAAAGTTTCATACTCCACCAAATTCATTTATTTCCCCAAAAAAGAAAAACTACGCGGCAACAAATCACGAATGCTTGTGGCAAGCACTTGCAACGGCGGACAAGCTGGCTTGGCACAGTATAGTGGGAAATCCCTTTGCATGGCGAATTCAGCTAAAAATTGCCGGCATACTCCACAGGGAGTAGTAAAGTCACTCTCCTGTTGTGCAACAACTGCGCAGGCAACAAAATCACGCTTGCCTTCACTGATCGCCTTACAAGCGGCTGTACGCTCAGCACAGATACCAACCGGATATGCGCCATTTTCGATGTTGCAACCTGTGTAAATTGATCCGTCTCCTGTTTTTATAGCGGCTCCCACTTTAAATTTACTATACGGGCAATAGGCGTGTTGACGCGCCTCAATGGCTGATTTTATTAGCTCTTTAGCATCATTATCTAGGAGAAAAATTAAGAATGCTTACATAAACTACTAATAATTCATGTCACAAAACATACCTAAATCCTTGAATTCCATAATTTGCTTGTCGTTATTTAGGTTATGTACATTGATTTGTGGCATGACCCTTTAGATGAATAATGGATGTGTAGTAGATAAATTCAAAATATACTTGCAAAAAATATTATAGCTCCTTCAATAATATTTTTATGAAAAGTGATTGACGCTGGACGTACATAATTAAAATGACGCGATTGATTGCAAATAAACTGACTTTGTAGAAATATGTCGACTTTAAAAATTCACCTTTTTGTAGAGTATTTCCCAGATCGCATTTATAGGAAACGAGTTAAATTCATAAGCCAGCGATGTGGATTCTTTTCTTCAATAAAGTGCATTAAAACAGGTTAATTATGCTCAGATTTAGTAAACAAAGTAAATCCTTTTTATATAAAGCTGCTCCCCCAGTAACTAATAAAGAAGGCTACTTTCAAAAAGATTTAATTTTTCAAATTACGAAATAAAGCCTTATATAGATATCTTACTTTATATAGAACCATAAAAAAAAATTACACCTGACACTCAATAAACTGATAATTCCAATTTACATTCTGAACGCGTGCTTTTCTCGTATTTTCAGTAGAAGGCACATTAAATACACAGAAAACCTGAGCTCATAAGACCGATTTATTTAAGCAAATTTTTTTATACAATTTCCAAAAATCCCAATGTATACACTGAGGGAAAAAAATATTAAAATCAAATAGAAACGTAATTGATCCTACTATAAACGTCAACGAAAGTACTGTATATTGGTAAATATTCATTTCAATTACGCGCATATTAAAATGACCGCGTTCGTACTGAAAAAGCATCCGTGAAGTGAATAATCAAGACAAAAACAAAAGAAAAAAATTTATTTGCATGTTGCCTGCAGTGGAATTCGAACCCGACCATCTCCGGATATCAACAACTTGTGACAAGCATCTTTGCGCACTCAGCTACAACCAGACATATAAATTTGCTTTCAAATGTTGAATATCCATCAACACCACAGCACGCGATTTGTACTGATAAACATGTATGTAGTATGTATGTGTGTGTTGTCACCGCTCTCAGAGCGGCGCTCTGCATGCTTGGGGTGCGTATGTACACTTACATATACATACTCAGATGTGAACAGTCAAATACGTGCGTAATAAATTTTGTATGAAAATATTATTTTTAAATACGAACATTTTTAAACGATAATCAAATATAAAGTATTCATTTTTACTATGCATTATTTCCCTCAGTGTAGATTCCATCATCTAAATAATTAAAAAGGGGTTTACACGGCGAACTGCAATCATCAGAAGTTCTAGAAAAACTTTCGGAGACAAGAAGTGTATGTGCTATCTTCTGGCCACATTGGGCCCAGACTTTTTCACGCCACCAAAGGAGCAGGTGCACTGATTTCTACTTAGCCGAGTCGTAAAAGCGACAGAGGTCACCTGACTAAACCCTTAGCTTGTGCTTCTCCTTCTTTTTCTTATTATTATTATTATTATTGTTATAAAACCTACAGTCCGAGTCTACAGAGAACCCCATTTTATTCAAATTGTACCTTAACTTGCAGTGTCCTGTCTCATTTCCTTTGACCTCCTTCTTCCCAACTCCTAATTAGTTTTGCAGTGTATCCTTTAGATGAGCCGCAGAGTGGCTCGGGACCGTGCAAGCGCGGCGGTTCAAAAGAGTTTTACAACTGTCCATAAGTCTTGATGTCGTTCTAAATAACTCTTACAGCCAGAAATTTAAATGGAAAATGATTTTTTATTTTCTGTCAACTTCCATATAATATTTAAAAAAATTTAAATAAATTTTCACTTAAATTGTTTTCGTGAAATTGGCTCTTGATGCTGCCTGAGTTTCCGAAATAATCTGCCTTATCCTGAGTTTCGCCTGAAAAAAAAAATCACCCGAAAATTTATCATCCGCCCATAGTAAAACCGTGGAAACCAAGATTGAAAAGTGAACCGGTTCGGGGAAAATGAAAGTCATGATAAGGCTGAATATTTACTCCGGTCCCATTTGTCCTTCTACGAATATATACTCGAACACAGATTTCGATTGCGAAGACTTAAGCCTGGAACATGGTTAGGTATGAGCCAATTTTCAGACTTTTCTAGAATCTTGGCCTAAGGATCCGTCGGTATACCGTGGGACGCTTTGTTGCAGATGCGCTCTTAGTTTGTAGTATTCTGTGAGGATGCCCGCGGCGATCCCCAATTTCTTCTTAGGCATTTTCATAAACTCCACTACATGGTGACTGCCCTGTTTCTTCCATCTCAGCGAAAAAGGGCTGGTGGGAGCTGGGACCTAAACTTTCTCATCTTCCTGGCAATGGGACCTGTAACTATCCACATTAAAAACTTGGAATAAGCTAAACAAAGTAGTCAGCGATCCATTTAGGACCGTTTCCTCAGTGATTGATTAACATTGTCCTTAACAGGTGGTTGGCGAAACATTAAAGTGAATACGTTCCAAGAGGTAAGGTAACCTTTCAATCAAATGGGGTTTTCTGTAGAGACGGACTGTAGGTAGGTAGGTATATGCTATGTACCTGCTCCCGAAACATGAATCGTAGACTGATACACTTTGGAGAACGATTTTCTTCTCCATATACAATTTAGAATATGGTACCGTCCAAAGTGCTTAGATTTTTGAATAGCCTAAGGTTGGAGTGCTTACAATAGGTCTTCTTAGGTCGCATAAATCTGTACAGTAAAATGAATTGACATACGCAGTTAATTTGTTTTTATTTTACAAGCTGTGCCTTATAGGCGGCATACACGGTGCGTTTGACTCGTGAGTCATTTGTGTACGTGTTGACTCGCCTTCGACTACACACAGTTGAATCATTCCGAGTCATTCCAGGAGTCATGTCGGTGTAACTAACACATATTTATTTTCACAAATACATACAAACCGCCCCCGGGACATTTTTTTAATCTTTATTTATTTTATTTTATTTATTCAGTCAAATGGAATACAAATCTTTACTGACTAAAGCAAAGGAGCATAAATACTACCTAAAGTAATTTAGCAGGACACAACGTACTGTTACAATTAAGAGAGATGGATCATATTCCGAAAGCTCATTTAACTCAGAGAGAGTTCTTAAAAGAAGCGAGAATTTCACATAGTTGGATTTCGGAAATCCCAAATAAAATAATGAAACACGCAGCAAGTTATGAGACGGAACATTTAAAGATAACTTAACCAGAAGCGTAGAGCAATCGACGGTGCCTTCCACTATTTTAGCCACAAAAGAGGCAGCGAGGAAAGAACGCCTACTATTTAACGAATTTAAGCCAAGGAGTTGACAACGAGCATAGCATAAGCTTTGGAAATAACGTAATCAATATAAGTTGAGAAGGTTAGTTTTGAGTCAAAGTATACTCGTAAATGTTTAACCTCAACGACAGATCGACAATGAGATTCTTATTCGATTCCTATTTGTACTAGTTGGTATTTGCGCAAATATTTGTGCGATTTATTTTGTGCATTATTCAAAAGTGCAAAACTGCACAAACTGAAATTAAAAATTTATCAGCTTCTCTCACAGTGCAGTAGACACAACGGCTGCTTTTCTTTATTCATTCTGAACGTTTGGAATAAAATTGTTTGTTTACTTATTCCTTAGAACGTTCCTGATTATATGTTGACGTATATTTCAAACGCATTCTGTTTATTCCGGCTGTGAAATGGGATTATCCGGAATGTATAAAGAAACGCAGCCAACATTGAATGTGAACTTGTATGGGAGCATGGTGAGTATTTGCATGTGTTATCGGGGATGGGCATTCGAATACCCAATAACTTACATTATTAGTAATAATGATTAGATCTAAAATACGCTTATGTTTATTTACACTACCATTAGCGTGTAGTAGACCAATACTTAAGAAGCTATCAGCTGCGTATATCTCACCGTCTGTAATAGCGCTGACCGGGGTGAAAGACGAGGAGTTATTAAAGCTTTTCCAAGAGACGTTTCCCAAATTAAAGTCACCGAGCACACAGGGGTGATGATCGCCAATCCCAGAACTGAGATGCAAGACATTGTCAACATGAGCCTTATATAAGTCGTAGCTACTATTCGGCGAAATGTATTTCAAAGTTGTACTAGTGTCGGAGAAAATCTATGCTGAACTGCAATCGCTACTCCTCCACCTCTGGACAGCCTAGACCCGTTTTCATCACGGTCCTTTCGATAAACATTATAAAACTCAGGATCGAAGAATTTCGGGCCAAAGAAATTAGGTGTTAACCAGCTTTTAACGATGACAAAAATATCAAAAGCCAAATGGAAATATATCTTGATTTGACAAAGTGAAGCCACACTAGTACTATCAACTGGCTTACCATAAACAATTCTTCACAGGTATTTTTCGCTGAATCAGCCGAAAAGGGCGCACCGATACTTTTGAAGGCACAAAGCACCCTCTCAAAACCATGATTCAGGGATACCCAGTTTAAAATTTATATGTTTCAAAGACTTAGTACTAGCATCTTTTTAAAAAGCTTGACGTTGAACAAATTTATTAAAATCTCAAACAAATGTTTGGTAGGTTTTGGTAGGAAAAAAATTTGCCTGTGGCAACACTGATGTACTCTCAATTTTTCATTAAAAAAAATATCTAATATACTACAAATATTTATTTGTTTGATCGTGCACACTCTAATTGTATATAAATTGAGTGCAAATAACGTATAAATTTAATGTATTATATATGGTGAAATAGTGAGCATACAAGTTTGTTAAATTTACAAACTTTAACAACAAATTACCTAAAAACTATAAGGCTCCGCGCTTTGAAACTTTATACAGACAACTATTAGGTCCCCATCTATCCTATATATTCCATAATTCCGTACCAAACTAAAGCTCACCAATTTTAATTTTCATTGAAATTGGATATTTAAATCTTATAAAAAACGATAATACGAATGTGGCTAGCATTGTTAATTCGCTTTATCGATATTTAACTGTACTAAGATTGTTGCCTTTGCTTCACATTTTTCCCCAAACTAAATAATTGCGATTAAAGGCAGCACTGGCACATTTTATTTTTTCTTTTCAGTTCTTTTTTCGCATATGCTGTGCTTGCTTGCTTTACTTATTCTGTTGACTGTTCTTTTTTCTAAACAAAATAGCAATTAATTGAGATCCAGAAAAAATTTACACAAATAAAATATAAAATTTCTGGCTAAGCAATGCACTGTTCTTACTGCAAACAACCTGTAGCTGACGAGGATGACTACCTAGAGTGCGTGGAATGTGAATATCTAGTGCATGCAAAATGTCTGCGCACGTGTCGACCTGGAGATTTATTGGGTGATATATTTTTTGACTTCACCTGTGCCGATTGCATGAATTTGCAATATAATGCACCATCTACTTCATCGTCAGCGAAAGCTGCTGTGCCACGTGAGAATTTTGTACGCCAGCGTATGTCTTGGTTCATGATAGTTGCTTTAGCATTATACAATTTATCGGTAAAGTCTAAGGGACTGAGTCATCATGGCTTCTTCCATTGGCGTTCACACATTGTTAGTTTTATTAACAAAAACTGGGACTTTTTAATGGAGCCTGGAACGTAAGTATATCCAAAGCAATTTAAGCAGTTTTCGGCATACATATTTGTACTAATAAATGCTTTTTACACGCAGACGTCGGCGCAAAAACTGGTTCGGCTCCATTTCAGGAAATTTGTCGCACTACAGTCCGGATTTTTTCTTATCCGGTCAAGAAACAATTCAAAAGTTAGGTTGGTGGCGCTTGGCGCAGACAAATTTAACTCCAAAAATGATTCACAGAAAATGTAAGTTATGGAAATAATATAGAGAAAAGTCAATAACTTTACATTTAATGCTGCAGATGAAGAATTTAGTCAAAAGCGCGCCCAAATGCGCAGCGATAAACGGGGGCAAGAAGATGCTGATAACAGTGATGAAGAGCAGCACGAAAGCAAACGTAGGCGGCAAATTTATTCGGATGATGAGATACCACCCATAACTGATGGATGCAGCCGTACAATGTATTTTTCATTCTTAACAAAAACTTTAACTCGTAATTTATTGCCATAATCAATTGTCATTTATTCCCAGGCCGTATATGGGTCGCACGCCCAAAGTAGCTAAACAACTTGATATTGTGGATGATGATATCAAGAATTTCCATCAGCAACAACCGCTGAACACTGTACAATCAAGCTTAATGGACTTTTTGGCAGAGAATCTAGCAAACGATGATTTTTTTAGTACATTGCCAAATAGCGCAACGGAAACGTTGGTAGGTGGAGATGATAAAAATGGTTTTCTCCCCTTGCTTGAAACGCAAAATGATAATGTTGGACTTTTTGACACATCTGAAGCCAAATACAATCCAAACTCAGCTGTGTATGAATCTAATACCGTATACCCAGTAGCAGACAAATTGAAAAGCTTTTACGATTCAGAACAGCACGGTGATCAAAAAACATCATCTGTTCTAAGCATAGAACAATTGTAAGTTAATACTTAAACAAGCAAAGGCAATTAATATTATTAAAATCATTCATAGCCCTCAAGAAGATTCAATGCAAACGTCATCCGAGGATAGTAATGATGATGACGACGAGTATCAACCACGCATAATACAAGTCACCAATTTTCAGGAACTTAATCAATCACCAAAGAAAGACAAAGCCGGATCAATAGAAGAAACCCTTTTACATAAATTTGGACAAGAAATCAAGAAAGAAGTAAAATCTGATGCAGAGCAATCAGAAGCTGAAGATAAGCATAGTACAAAGAAAGATGAAAATTATGGTCACACCGCTGGAGCGACGCAGCCAGAGTCGGAAAACGAAGGCGAAGGGGTCGCTTCAATTTTGGGTGCCTGCAAGCCAAGTCTTTTTACGAAGGTTCCTCGCCGTAATTGGCCTTGGTTGGTGGAAGAATCTGATGAGGCAGAAGAAGAAGCCAAAATGAAACCCTTCGAGCAAAACGAAAGGTATACACATTGCTGAAAAACCACAGTTTTATCTACAGATTAAAAAAAAATTTCTCACTGCAGCTTAATTCCGATCAGTGAATACGAAGAGATTGAATTGTTGCACAAGCTACGTAAAATCTTTTCTATGGAGGAACAATGTAAAATTCAAATTCCGGCGTTCATACGACGGTTCTATAGAAAACTTTGCGTGCGTGAATGGAAACGTGAACATGGTAAACCGCTATTTAATTTAGATGACCATATAAATGGCAAATGTAATGTGTCGCACGATGCCAAATCGAAAATAATTGATCGGTACCAGCAGGTATGGCGTATAACTAACAATAATATTCTACAGAAAACTATATTTTCTTCGTTTGCAGCTAATTTCACTTTCTTCGGAAAGTAAACGCAAATCATTTTACGCCAGAATAGCTGGTTCATTTGACTATGAAATGTTTGAATCGCCTTATTCCCATCGAATATTACATCCTTTCATATATAGGGATAAAGAAATAGCACCTCCCTGGTTAAAGGTACCAGTTGTAAAAATTATACATAATTTTCTTCAATACTATTTATCTAATTTTGCAGCTGATGTGCGAGCTTCAGTTCAAAGTCAATGGAGAGTATCCCTTTCGTTCACCAATCGATTTTTGCTATGTACGCCCCAATCATATAGCCGCAGTAAATGCTTTACTTCAAACAAGTTTTTGGCCTGGGATTGATAGTAAGACTCCTCTGAAATACGAGTACCACATAACTTATTGCAACTGTTTATATTTTTAAAGTGTCCGAATGTCTTAGCTACCCAGATTACAGTGTGGTTGCACTCTATAAAAAGCTGGTAGTGGGTTGTGGATTCCTTGTGCCTGACGTAGGCTTCAACGAAGCATACATTTCGTTTATGGCCGTTCGACCTAATTGGCAACGTTGCGGTATAGGAACTTTTATGCTTTATCATCTTATACAGGTATGTACTATCGATTTTGCGTGTGTGATTGCATATTTTATTTTTAATGCTTACAGACATGCATGTCAAAGGATATAACGTTGCATGTGTCTGCTTCTAATCCCGCAGTGGTGCTGTACCAGAAATTCGGCTTCAAAATAGAAGAGGTTATTCTGGATTTCTACGAGAAATACTTACCCATAAATTCCAAGCAAAGTCGGACCGCATTTTTCTTAAGGCTTTTAAGATCATAATAGTAGCTAAGAACTCAGGACTAGAATTAAAAGGAAGAAACTAAAAATTGTTCCTTGTATTTTTTGTTGTTACCAAGGCGAAAGCCATGTATTAAAAATGTAATCCGAAGAGAAATATACTACTGTTATACAAACTTAAATTCACAAACGTAAACCAAATCCATGTAAAAATGTTGCCGTATTGAATTTTTTCCGGGTTTGGCTTTCCGCATAACTTAAGCAAAGATTTTCTCCTCCCGTCTTTTCTTTGTCACCACTGTGCCAGGTTTGTGTTGCGCATCTGGATGATTCATTAGCTCTGGTGGACATACAGATACCGGACTAGCCGTAACGCATTGTTTAAGATCATAGAATAAATGACTGTCATCTTTGGTGACAAATGAAATGGCTACACCATTCTTTCCAGCACGTCCCGTACGACCTATACGATGCGTGTAATCTTCGATCGTTTTTGCCATATCATAGTTGATGACAAGTGACACATCTTTGATATCAATACCACGTCCAGCGACGTCCGTTGCTACCAGCATATCCTTGGAACCGTTTTTAAGAGCTGCAAGAGCGTATTCACGTTGTTCTTGTCCTTTGCCACCATGAAGAGTACATGAATTGTAACCCAACTTCTCCAATCCTTTGGCAAGCACATCAGCTCCCTTCTTTTGATTGACGAAAATGATGACTGGCGGTTCAATACCTTTGGAAAGTATTTCCATCAATTTCTTACGCTTATCGTTTTCACCCATCATAAACACGATTTGCTCTGTGCGTTCGGTTGGTTTGCCTATAGATCCAATGTAGACAGTAGCTGGACGCCGCAAATATGATCTTGCTAATCGTTCCACCGCTGGAGGCATAGTAGCAGTAAACATCACAGTTTGTCTAAAATGGTTTAAAAATCCTTGAATGTATTATTTGCCCTACCTTTAAAAAATCACATTTCGAGTTACCTACCTGTACTTCTTTTTTGAGTAAAAGTTCTCCATTAGTTTGCTGGCATCTTCAGCTTCTTCCGAGTCAGGTTTCAAATTTGTTACTGGCATATATTCAAGAATCTTTTGAACATCCGGTTCAAAACCCATGTCAATCATACGATCTGCCTCATCCAATACAATATATGTACACTGACTCAGAACTAAATATCGGTTTTCCAAAACATCAATCAAACGACCAGGTGTTGCGATAACAATTTCGCAACCTAAGCGTAGACGAAACCCTTGCTCCTCACGAGACAGACCACCCACTACAACCACCGTGCGTATGCCCAGCGGTTGACCAAACTTGATAGTTTCCTCTTCGATTTGCTGTGCTAATTCACGTGTGGGTGCCATAATAATGGCGTAAGGTCCTGCATCGGCATCTTCCATGCGTTCTATTTTCGGGAGTGACTGAATCCAAGATAACAACGGTATAAGGAAAGCTAAAGTTTTACCAGAACCTGTTTCTGCTACACCAATAATGTCGCGATTTTGTAAGCCAATCGGTATTGCCTGCCTTTGAATAGGTGTTGGCTCTTTGTACCCAACTTTGTCAATAATTTCGATGATTTCCTTAGGGAACCCAGATTCGGCCCAATTACGTATGGGGTTAGGTATTTTACCACCTTTAATTGTAATGTTATAGTCCTCACGGAAAATACGCCAATCACGCTCGGTCATCTCCTCATGAGCCTTTTCAGACCAATGACGATCATCCCATTTTTGCTTATCTTCCTTACGTTTTACTTTTTTAAGTCGCACCTTTTCCTGTTCTTTTTCTGCTTCCGTTCGTCGTTTTTCCAACAGATCCCCATAGAATTTACTTTGTGTACGTTTTTGTTCTTTGATGTCAATGCCAGCGACATTACCACGACCGAAGAATTGTACATGATGACGCTCTTTGTACAAATTATTGTAATCAATGGATGTATCTTCTCCAGCATCCCAATCGAAAACAAATTTACGGTCATTTAATCGACGAACACGGCGTTTTTTCTTCACAATACCCAAGTACCGTTCACGTATCGCTTCCAGTTCTTTCTCCTTATCCTTATGAGTAAGATCTTCAGCGCGTTTACTATCTCTATCCTTATCTCGATCTCGATCTCTTTCACGATCTCGATCCCGGTCGCGATCTCGCCCTTTTTCACGATCCCGCCGATCATAATCGCGATCGCGATCTTTGCGATCCATCCTTTCATTTTTTAGTTGCGTCGGTGGAATTCCAAAACCGTTATTCAAGCCATCTCCGTCTGCAATGGCAGCAGCTGTAGCTGCGCTTTGGGCGCTACGCATTGCAGCTACTTCTTCTTGACGTCTTTTCAAGGCCTCTGCTGCCCGCTGTTCTTTAGTGAGAAAGACTGGTTTGCTACGTGCTTCCTCTTCTCTTTTCTTTTTCTCAAGGATTTCTTCTAAAGACAGAGGTTCCTTCTTAGATTTAGCCTTCTCAATGTCTTTCATTTTGACATCCTCAATATCGTCCTCGTCTTTGACGCCAGGTTTTTTTTCATCCCTTTCATCTTTTGGTTTCTCGTCCGTGCGTCGTTTTTCTATTGGATGATCTCGACCTCGAGATCTAGAGCGGCGTCGATTATGATCCTTCTCGCGGTCCCGTTCTCGGCCACGATCACGTTCACGTTCATGATCCCTGTCCCGTTCCCGGTCACGATCTCTCTCGCGGTCCCGGTCTCGACGATCCCTGGAATGTGATCGACGTCTTTTATCGTTGCCCATAAGGATTGCTTTTGTTTTAATTTTTAATTCCTTTTAGAAAATACAAAGCTAATAATGAAAACGTTTGCAGGGCTAAATAGATAAATTTGACATTTAATTGCAGCTTCTTATATCAAATCATGATTATTCGCAATAAGTTTCGTAGATTTTTGTTATTTCTGTACAAACACATTGAAAACCACGGGCTACGGACTACAGTTATCAAATAATTTAACACATTCCACCGTAACGTAAGATACGTAAGAGTTACGTTCTTTGGCCATAGTAAAATGCTAGCAAATGAGTAAAATGCGGCAAATATGATTTGTAGTGATAATTTTAGATACTGTTTATGAANCCACGCTGATTCGTTCTTGGACCTTCTCTATAAATATACGTTCTCTGGAATTTGTGCAACGATTTTTGGTTGCTGTGCCCAAACGCGTGAATCGATTCAAAAAACTTTTACACACACTTGTAGACAACAGTTCACGCTTTATTACAAAAATTTTATTTACTAAATCTGTGCACTAATTTAAAAATAGTGTCGGTTGGAAATATGGTATTTGTTGCAAATTTTCGTTATAAATTTGTATATACATTTTTATATACAAGATATTTTTATAAAACACCCAGTAACCAAAATAGACATCACTGGGGCGGCAGTGTGACTTTTCATAAAGCGGCGTCAAACCTCTTTCGTTTAGGGGGGATACTTGACGGACCAAAATTACCAAAATACCTATGTTCGCATCGCTGGATTGTTAAACCCACGCTCACGATGACCAAATTACAGTACAATTAAATTTATTGTTTTTTTTTTGGTTTTGGGTGGGTTGGCTGGTTTTCACCACCGCCAGGTTATTCCTCTAATTTTAATATACAGTGACGAGCAAAACTGTAACATGGAGTAACATTTTTTATTTCAGCCGTCGCTATCTTTCCAAGTTCCAACGACATTCATACTGTTGTTGTATATTTTTATTGGTACATCTTTGCTTCCTCTGTCATAACGATTTGAAGTCAATTCAACAACATTAACAAAACCAGCTGACGAAAATGTAAATTAAGGCAAATGTTAGTTTTGCTCTCATACATTTTTAATAACTTTTTGAGAATTTTCACGATAAAAAAAGAATTATTAACACAATGTTCAGTATGCTTTTGCTTTTTTTAGTTCCTGGTTGCAATTTGGCCTACCTAATGTGTATCTCTGTAAAAATTCTGGAGGTATAGCCTCCCATATATCCTTGGTTTGCTTTCACAGCTCATGTACTCCATTGGACGGACTTGGATACTTAGTAAGCTGTGCTTTTAGTTGATTTCGCAAATTCTCGATGAGATTCATGTCCTCGGATTTTAGAGGTCATTTCAAGTTAGCAAATTTTTGCTTTTGTTCCAGTCTTTGCGAACATGTGCAGTGTGTTTTGGATGATTTTTCAGCAGAAACTCTAATTTTTTCGACTACATCTTGCAAATTTTGTTGAAATATGAACAGATACTGTTCCTTACGCATAATGTGTACAAACGGATCAACCACATTGAAATACAACCCCAAACTATTATTGACCGACCACTGTGATTTACATGATGCGCTTAGGCTTAATTTGGGCCTTTGATCCAATACCATGCCCAGCCATCTGATTGAAAGCGATTAATTTAGTCTTGTCAGACCAAATAACCCTCAATTAAATCTTAAAAATGTGCTTTTTATTGCATTCTGTAAGGCCTAACATATCCCAATAGGCAACGGTTCTTTTTTCGTGCGATGCAGCAAAACGCTGCCACACTCGCACATGTATTTTGATCAAATTTGCTTTTTTATTCTTTTATGATCCATTGCGCTCAATTTGACAATTTTTCGCCTCACTGTCTACTGATTTGCGCTCAATTTTAATACCTTAAGCGCTTCTGTAGTAGTGGCTGCAGCGCTACTGCTACTAAGTTCACAAGATATCGGACTGTAATATATTTTGACAGACTTCCTTTGTCCTTATTAACACTTTAGGTTATATTTTTTCTCAGTCTTAACATTTCCATGTGTCAAACTCCACAATTTTTCGCCACTTTCCCTGCGGTCCCGCCTTTCTGCAGTAAATCTATTATTTACATTTATGTTTCCTGATTAACCATATTATTTATTGGTGATCACTTCTTGAATAAATTACAATACAGAAAAAAGTCATCTGGCTTCCAACTAAGCCAAAGATAACTATAAAATGCAAAACTGAGAGTGAGTGCAAAACTGTAACATTTGCCTTAACTTACATTTTTGTCTCCAGGTTTTTTTATTGTTATTGGATTGACTTCAAATCGTTATGAGAGTGGGAATAGGGGTGTACCAATAATAATATACAACAAAAGTATGAAAGTCGTTAGAACTTGGAAAGATAGCGGTGACTGAAATAAAAAGTGTTACATCATGTTACAGTTTTGCTCGTCACTGTATGTCTCTTTATATGTTATATTCCATTGATGTATCCAATCGTCGCTCCACTGATATACGATGGTAATACCGCTATGGGCCAGAACCACGTGCACAAGTTTCTGCTATGCTTATTTCAAATCTTTCTTTTTATTAAATCTTGATTATATCGTTTTTAAAATGTGTGATGTGTTTTCTTGGCTGGAACCTTAGCGTTCCACAAGTAACCAGGTTATTCTTTCAATTTAGTAATTAGCAATTATACGTCAAATTATATTTATTAAGTTTGTATTTGTATTTGTATGGCAGGGCACTAGGTACACGTATCGCCAGGTTATTCCTCAATTTAATAATTTAATCATTATTCGTCGTATTATATGTGCTTAATGCATATGCATAAAGTTGTAATTTCCAACAATTTTAGAAATTAATTTCTTTAAAATATGTATTTCTTGTTTCGCTTCATGAAACAGTTATAGTAATAAATTTTTCTTAGTTCAGTTAATTTGTTCATACGATAGTGCCGTTTCAGCGGTACGCTTTCACATTTCCATTTAATCGCAATTTTATTTCTTAATGTCCACGTGTATTAATTTAAAAAAGTTAGTTTTATTTAATAGTATTATATTCCCTTGATTCAAAATTTTAATTTATATTTAATGAAGCTTAATTTAAAGCTGTATGTTATTTTTAATGAAACGGCATCATTTTTGTATGTATTTTAATCTAATATTCGCTTTATAAAAACTCGACAGGTCAGCGCGACCATACTCGTCGAGGAGCCATTTTGAACTTTAAACTTATTGTTCAACAAACGTAAGTGACAACGGCGAAGCAATGTTTATATTGTATTATAGGCGCAATAATTGTGACAATAGGCATATGATGAATTTTGTCAATGGTGTGGGAATAGGGCGGTTAGACATTAAGTACCGCGGCGAAGTCTAAATTCGCCATTAACACCACCAAGGGGAAATTATACAAGGAGGTGTTGCTGGCGAATTTTCATTTTCGCCGCGATACTTCCTAATGTTAAAATGATGTGTTTTTGTTGTCACCAAGGCGAATTCATGTTACAACAATCACATTATTTTGACATTAAGAACCGCGGCGAAAATCAAAATTCGCCATCAACATCATCTTGTGTAAAATCGCTTGGGTGGTGTTAATGGCGAATTTAGATCTTCGCCGCGGTACTTAATCAGGCCAATTCTTAATATTCCCAGGGAGTTTGTTCTCCGGGAATTTGTTTCTCCAGAGAAAGAAATCCCCCAATAATTACCTCCCAGGAGTAGAATTTTCCCCGAAGGCTTTGGAGGAGGGAATTCGAACTTCGAAAAAGGTGTTTAACACTTTTTTGAGAGCTCAACTCCGCCATTTAATATAAAAAATCCTCAAGGAATTTTTATTCGTGATAGTAGGAAAGGGAAAAGAGAGAAAACTCCCGGGGAGTTTCTGTTCAGAATCGGCCTGAATGTCTAAGTGTTGTGTTTGTTGTAAAAAAGGCGAATTCATATTACAACAAACACTCCATTTTGACATTAAGAAGTACCGCGGCGAAAATCTAAATTCGCCATTAGCACCACCTTGTATAAATCCTATTGTGAATCATATTGTTCAAGAACAAGAGTACGTTTACAAATTTTTGCAGATTAATGAGTATATAAACAAACGTTTTGCTGACAAAAATTAGTTTTCGCTGGGAATCCATGTTCTTATCTGTATAGTGTGTACCTTTAAACAGAATGTCTACATTTCGAAAAAAGGTATTGCATAAAACAATAAACTAAATCAAAACTTATAATTTGATCTTATTTAGAGCACTAGCACTACCGGAACTAGTTCGAGTTCCACATCGGGCAGCTCGACAAGTGGAAGCACAAGTGGTTCAAATTCAGGTAGTAGTTCATCTGATACCGAATCAAGTAGCTCCGGTGACGAGAAGAGTTTGGCCGATGATGCTCCAAGCACAGTTGCCGCAACTAAAACGCAAGTAACAACTCGACGGAAAAGTTCCGAATTCAAAGGCGCAGCTAAAGCGGATGCAGAAAAACTTGCTATAAGTTCACAGTCAACTTCAAAGACAAGACTAAGCAATAGTAATACTGCATCTCTGCGGCAACCTCGTGCAGGTAATCATACAAGTGATGATGAACTTCCGGCTAGTAAGAAGCCGGCAAGGCCAGTTGCAACATCCAGTACAACTCAAAAACGGAAACTGTCCGCTTCGAGCACATCAGCTGCACAAAATCAGAGTAATCAGCGAATTATCGGTGGTAAAGCACCTCAAAACACCTCGAATAAACTAAATTCACACACAAATAAAGCTCCGGCTGGCAACTCAAAGGCACAAATTAGCTTAGTTCCTGAAAATGGACAAGATGGAAAGAAAAATGCATCTACTGCAATGCATGGGTCAGACGAATCAGATCGGGAGGTATTCCCTTCTAGTCGTAATAAATCTGAACGTAAAGGGCAAGTAAAATTATCCGCTCAAGCTAATTCGGCAGCCGCTTTAAATAGCTCGGATAATCGAATAAAGCAGGCAAGGCCCAAAACACAAACTAAGCGCACTATAGTTGGAAAAGCAAAGAACAAGAGCTCAGAAGAGGACGAAGAAGAAAGCGAATCGGAAAGTGGAAAAACTACCACCTCTACTGAGTCTGAAGCCACCGAGAGCAGTAATTCTTATGACACCCATCCAGTCAAATCAGTGAAAGGTAAACGTGCGCCTACCGCTGCTAAAATAGCCAATTCCGACTCAGACGATGGAGCGCCACGCAAACTCACACGTTCACTAAGCACCAGAAGGTCTAGGCAGCAACCAAAGTCTTCAGGCGGTGCCGGCTGCCCTTCTGAAAGCGAATCTGAAGTCGATTTAGACACTGAGAAACATTCATTGTCAAAAAGCCCAGCAAAGCGTTGTATTTCATCTACCGGCGGTAGTAAATGCAAAGTAAAGAAGGAAGCTGGTGTATTCGGTTCAACATCGTCCAAGCCACGTTCGTTATCACCGCCTCAACAAATGGAGAAAAAATGCCCAATTGAGGGATGTGATTCGTCAGGTCATTTATGCGGCAATTTGGATAGACATTTTCTACCCGAAGCTTGTCCTATTTACCACAATATGTCGGCATCTGAGTGCAAAGAACGTGTTCCCGAAAGAAAACTTAGGAATGAGCGACGTCTACGTAACAGTAATAGTAATTTAAATAATTCCGATGTGGCAAATCCAAAAGGACGCACAAATGAACAAAATGAATTTTTAGCTAAAATTCGCGAATCACGAGCAAGATTTCGCCCTATAGCGGCTACCATAAATACTGATAAAGTAAAACTTGAAAAAGATTGCACTGATGAGGATCGTGAACCTAACTTGATTGGACTTGTGCCTGATTATGATTTGCAATTGTTTCGGGATGCTCAAGCAATCGCCTCTGAAAAAGTCGAAGATGAGCTAAAAGATTTGCCTGTTGGAAAGGGGATAAAGTAAGTGTCCATACAAACAAAACAAACATTGATATGTACCATAAAAATAAAATACTTGCTATTTATAACAGGTATATAACAATGGGTAAATATAAGATGAAAGTTTGGTATCAATCGCCATACCCTGACGATGCGGCACGGCTACCTCAAATGTATATTTGTGAGTTCTGCCTACGGTATCAGAAATCAGAAACTGGCATTAAACGGCACGCCGAGAAATGTGTGTGGCGACATCCGCCAGGTGATGAGATATATCGAAAAGGCAAACTACAAGTATGGCAAGTGGATGGTAAACGACATAAGCAATACTGTCAACATTTGTGTCTTTTGGCTAAATTCTTTCTGGATCACAAAACACTTTACTACGATGTAGAACCATTCCTTTTTTATATAATGACATTAGCTGATGTGGACGGCTGTCATACAGTTGGATACTTTAGCAAGGTATGTACATGTAATGATATACAATAGATGTGTATATAAAAGTGAGCTTCATAGGTGTTTGCTAAAATTAAACACATTTCGAAATCTTCCTTCCGATGTCTAATACAGTTGATTTCATAAGTAGTCTACTGTTACATCAGCTCAAAAGACATCTGCCTCGGGAGACTCGGGCAATAATAGCTTAACTTTGCTCTAGCTATTGCAGCAGGTTAAACTCGTACATGAGCAGATGTGCTCCACGAGTGTCCGACATGCGGAGAGACACGCCACGACTCGAGACATCTCTTCGCATGTCCACTATAGCCTCTGTTCCTATTGAGCATGACGACATTGATTGAGGGACTAGGCGATCTGGGCTGGGTTGTTGAAAATATGTTACTACATACTACGCCGGGTCTATGTAACCGGAATGGTTCAAATTAATGTCGGGCCACCGACTCACTCTCAACTACTACAAAGATTTATTTCTGGCCAAAGACAGTCAAAACAACAGCATTATCCGTACCTTTTTTTTGGATTTTTACAACAACAATTATCAATAATATCCAATATTGAAATGGACACAAACTTACTTACGGATATACAGCCAGGCAAATGCTGGCAACTTGCCAATAGACGAACATTTCGCCTCGAGAACTAATGTTTCTTTAATATATCATTTTATTCCTGGCACCGTATGACCCATACTTTCAAGGACTGCCATTTCAGGAGATTCACCACAAGTATTTAGGAAACAATCTTTTTTAACTCCTTTTGTTTTGAGGGCGTATAAAATCCTATATTTGTTTTGCCAATTTCTTTGGTTTGTTTCACAACGCACCTTTAATTTTGTGGTTTTAACTTTTTCGCAAGGTTTCCAAAATCCATCTTTTCTTATCATAAGTAAACAAGCTTTTTTTTAACTCCTAACTTTTAGGGGAATTTATTGATTACAATTTTAGGACGCAAAGGCCCACTGTAAGTCTAGAACTAAATGTTTGACCATATTTAGTATACAAACTCATAGGAATCTATGTACGTGTATGTATATTTCATTTCATTTCATATGTTTGGGCACTGATATACATATGTACGTGCATGCGAGCTTGCACTTTGTTCTTGACCATACCCAAAAAAGTTAGTATCTGTAAGTGTAAATTGTGCACACAGTTTGCTCCCCAGTTCCTCGACCTGCCCCGACTCCCAATTCCGATGCTCACTGCAGCCTCGTATGTTGTACGCGCATGTCTGGGCCTTTTGAATATGTAAGTTGTGTAGCCCAACTGTAGAGATATAAGAGTGGTGGACGATGATGGTAGCCGGCGCGGCATAGACTCATTGATTTTTCTTCTGCAGTGGTGCAGTAGTAACCGGCAGTGCATAGAACAGCTCAAAAGGGACAGCAGCAGACTGGGTCTGTGTTACAAATTGCGCATGTCGTGGGCTTAGCTTTGTTGTGGTTATACATACATACATACATATGTACATATGATGTACCTTTGTTGACACTAACCACCCTTTAACAACCGCTTTACACACATCTAGCAGTGCCTATTTTGAACGAAAAAAAAAATCGGTAGTCAGTGCTATTGTTCTGTGGCCAGTTTCCTCGAAGATACCTAAAAAATTAAATTCACATGGCGCCTGAGGAGTTGAAAATGCAGGGAAAGAGGGTACCAGCAACATTTCGACGTCAAAAAATGCTCATCACGATATACTTCCCTTGCGAGAGAAAATAAAAAATTACATTACAGGAATAGACTCTAAATGCAGTGAAGCGACTTCATTTGCAATATCATCATCCGATTATAGATGCAGACATTCGTTGAATTCGTTTGAATTGCCTTTGTTATCCCTGGGTAGGTGGTGTACGAGTAGAGTAGGTCGGGATGCAATCTGGTGATGAATGTACGCATAAGGTGTCAATGTTGGTATTCATACATACAGACATACGCGCATGCAAGCAAAGCTAGAGAGGTTCGAAATGTTGCCGTTTTTGTTGTTGCTTTTGTGGTAGGTTCAAAAGCGTTCCTTCTATTGGCTGCCGATGCGTTGATGAAATCCGTTTGAGTCTGGAAGTTGTAGTATGTGCGTACATTAGTACGTAAATATGAATTTAGTAACTGCTAAAGTGGCAATCTTCATCCTACATACATATGTATATGTATATGTATATACTTATGACTTTCAAAACAATAGCCTGCCTGAATTGTTAGTAGATTCAATAATGTATGTACTTCTATCTATGCACAAGCCTAAGAGTACACACACAATTCTATGGGTATTCCCCTAGGAATGAGACTTTACTGTTACAACAAGTTCCCACTCAGCCAACGACCCACTCAAACCAAGTCCGGCTCGTTCCACGCCCTTGAGCTGTGCATCGCAGACGGTGAAAGGCAGACGGCACTCGTTTGCTATGCCAACAGTAACGTTAACAATAAAAACAATGAAAATAACAACAAGCGGCAGACAAATCGCAGACGAATGGGAAGAGAGCAGACAAGTGCTCGCGCCGTAGTCACCATCGGCAACAGAAGTCTCGGATTCGGTTTCTGCCGCTGTCGCTGCCGTCGGTGCTGTTATTGAAGCTGGCTTTGTGACTCGGCTACGGTGTATAGCCATAAGTGCATACATATGTATCTACGTATGCATTTTATTTGCGTCGTGGTTGCCGGCGCAGACGCAAACGTCGAAAGCTTTGAATTGTAGCCAATGAACGATGTGCGGCATGCAACCTGAGTGGGGATCGGTGGGTGTGCGCGCAAAGTTGCTCTCTGCAACTGGGTGCAACGTAATGAGGTCGTGAACCTTTTCGTGCTTATGAGGGAGTACCTAACAATGAAAAATCGAAGTACATATGTTTGTATATATGTATGTACGTTTTTCCCGGTGTGCAGTAAGGGGCTGTCCTGCTGGTCTGGACGGTTGGGCCAGCATCATAAAAGGATGCAGCAGTAAATATAGCAATTGCAGCTTACTCCATTTTGTTGGCGCTGCAAACGCGTCAATTTTTCTGTTGTTTTGGGACGCTTGTGATGTTTTTTTCTTTAGTTTCATTGTTGTTGGGAAATTTTTGTCTGGCTTCCGAAATTTTCGAGTGCAATGGCATGAATATCGAGCTGACACGGGTGCGAGATTTTATTCGCCCCACTTAAAGGATGCTGACATTGTCTGGGCCGGTAGTCTCTGAACCATCGTGGTGGTTGTATTTTAACGAAAGAGCGTACAAATGTCGAGTTGAGGACAGGGTACGCATACGCCCAGACATTACTCGAATGTAGTAAGTATATATTTATGTGTGTATGTACGTAGTCTTTGCCGAAATGACGACACCCTTCGTTGTGCTTACAACATACTAAAACGACTACAATTCGATATGTTGTGGTCAATGAACCCCGAAAATACAAAATTTCGTGTGACCATCGATGTTTTTTATGCAATTGAAATTTTAGAAACCAAGTATATCTAGTATATATCTAGTAACTGAAAGCCTATGTCGAAATTTCGATAAAATGGATTATAGACCGAGTATTATTTTAAATAAAAGAATTCGCTAAAGATTTAGGTATGTATACATATGTATAATGAAGTACATATGTATGTAGTATATCAAATGAGTCAAAGAGAGGCCTTATAAGTTAGCTTTTTTTTGTAAGTGCGCATAAGTTTAGTATACTTACATATTTGCATATACCTACATATATTTACAACTGATAAGTTTGCAGACGTCAGTTTTTGCAAGCACAGTAATTAAAATTTAGTTTTGCGTAGCTTTCAAATGTGCATAGTTCAAAATTAGCCTCATTTCTTATTATCATTTGCTAATAAATTTCCAGGGAAGTTTCTACTAGTCATCACATTTCTCGTAATTTTGTATAAAACATTTAATTGGTTAAGTCTATTCTGGCAGAACATTAATTTTAATTTGAGTAGGGGAAACATTTTGAAATAAATGTATGTATTTGGGAAACAAAGGTTCTGCTTCTCAATTGGGGATATACATATAAAACTGAGTGCAGACGCCATTGAATGCTATACATATGTAAATTTTGAATTCTCCCCATTTACAATAATCGCTTATATTCACCTTAGCTCTTCTAGGACAATTTGATTTATGAGAATTAGGTTCCAACGCCCCTGAGCATATTTTGAAGCAAACTTGAACTTGGAACTTAATTCTCATAAATAAAATTTTGTTATAAGACATGTACATATCGTCGTTTAAAGTACAAAACCGCGAGTTAATCCATGTTTTCTTTCAGCATTTAGTACCAAAATTGTCATCATGACCAATGTCATCTAGTAAAGCACAAAACAAACACCTCCGACGACGCATTACGAAGTTATTTCCAAGCGCCGAACTACTCCGAGCGTTTGCTCTACATCCCAGTACATAATTTCAGGAGTTAAAAGCCCTTCCGAAAGGCCTTCCTGAGATTCTCAGAGGCCTTCCAATCTACATTCCTTTCTCCTTTCTTTTTTGTATGAAGTGGCACAAATTGAAAGGCTTCCTCTTGCGCTGCCCATAGAAGGCCTTCCAGAAGAAGTTTATAGGTTATTTCCAGCCATTTTCTCGAATAAAGTGCGCACAAAAAGCAGCAGTATTTAGAGTATCCAAGTTGTAGTCCCAAGAATAGCGCAACTAATTTTAAATCGGAACACATAATCAACTCAAAATATTTACATTCAAACTTTTCTAATAAAAGTTTAATAAATTCATAAGTTTCTTTGGAGCTACATATGTATGTGCTAATGGTATCGAGGAGACTTGTTTTTGTTGAGTCTATGAACAATCTACAATCAGTGGGATCATGTGCTTGACCAAATATAGACATAAGTTTGTCAATATTGCTACGGCAAACAAAACCGGTATCATTAGAAAAACAATCGACGTAATTGCGATGGCGCTTACGGTATTTGCCAATTCCATTGCTTCAATCGGCGCGCAAGTATCTCCGAGTTTTCGTTCACCATCGAAAACGCTGCTGACTTAGATAGATAGTAAGTTGGGTATGGCACTGCGACCAATAGATCTATTGTACCTCTAGCTCATCACAACAAATCAACCCGACCCAGAGTGTCTATAAATTTCATAATAGACCCCGGGGACAGTGAGTGTATGTGCTCCTCTCTTGGCCAGACGTGCCCTATGCTCCTATACCTCCTGCGTGCAATGGCCTCACACTCCATAAGAAGGTGTAGAGGATTATCCTTGGCCGCATCGCAAAAGCGACACAGGTCGCTGGATCAGATACCTAGTTTATACAGGTGCCCTCTGAGCCTACAGTGTCCCGTCAGAAAACCTGTAATAATTCTTAGTTTCTTCTTTGAGAGATCCATGAGTAGCCTGTATCTTGCCTGATTGTAGCCTCCTAATATGATTTTTCCCTGACGTTGGCCCATAGTGCCACGCCAGTACAGTTCCCTCAGTTTGCAATTTTACCTTCTGAGCATTTCCTTTATGGTGTTGGTCGTGGAAGTGGCCATTCTGGCCAGTTGATCAGCTTCCTAATTTCCTGCAACTCCCATGTGCCCTGGTACCCACATTAGTTGGATATCATTAACCTCCGCCAGAGCATTAAGCCTCTCAACACACTCAAAAACCAAGGAGGACTTGATCTCGAATGATGAGAGGGCCATAAGTGCAGCCTGACTATCACTTAGTATCCTTTCATTCCTATAGTTCCTGCGAATGTTTATCGCAGCGCACATACTGATGGCATAGACCTCCGCTTGAAAGATGCTAGGGAAGACTCCCAGGGACACCGAAAGCTTCAGCCTGGAACCGTACACGCCTGCTCCAATCCCCGCAGGTGGTTTAGAGCCGTCAGTGTACCACTGTATTGTGCTCGCCTGTATGTGACTCTCCATAATAGAGGTACATTAGGTCGCGTTGTTATAAGTGTGGGTCCTGAAATTTCTATTGAAGACCACCTCTCTGTTAATATCGTCCCTGGGGAACAAAGCCAGAGGGAGCTGGGTACCTAGCTTGACCCTGTTCCTAGATGATAACACCTTGCCTTTGCCGAGGCCCTCTCGCAAAGTTAAGGAGGGTTCGCTTTGCAACCTGTTCAATTGAGAGATGCAGTGGCTCGAGTTCCAGCATTACCTCCAGCGCTGCCGTCGGGCATGTGCGCATTGCTTCCGTAATGCATACACATACCAGACGTTGAATCTTAGAGAGGGTCTGCCTCGCCGTTCCCATTGTAGTCCTGGACGCACAAAGAAGTTCTTCGCAAATATATATTTGCTACTGTATATGTATACTTCCGCCTCTCTTTTCCGGCAACACAGAAAGGAGAACTCTACTTAGTAAGGGTTATAATCCCTAAGCGCGGCCGAAGGACGCCAACGCAGAAACAAGTTCATTTTCTTATTTCACTTACATGCGTTATTTTTAATTAGATTTTTTAGAATTTTTTTTTTTGAGTATGCAGATTTATAGCCCTATCAATTTTATTATAAAAAAGTGCAAGTTTTAAGTAGCTAGGAATGATTTTTGACAATTTTTTTCACGCAGTCTCTTTCATACAAAATTTTTTTTTCGAAAATCTCTAAATGAAAAAAATGCCAAACACCTTCAACAAAAAAAATCTCAAAAATCAACGCGATTTTTGACTAACTCCGAACTTGCATTTTTTTTCACTAGAATTTAATGGGCTGCAAAATCAAAAAAAAAATTCTAAAAAATCTGATTAAAAAGTTGAAAATTTTGATGGAAATTTGCTGAATTTTCGCGAGTTTTTCACAAAGTTTGGGAATTATATTTTTATGTTTTTTGTTGTTGACTGAACCATATTTTTATACAAAATTGGCGGAAAAATATTAGAATAAGAAATGTTGCATATATTGTGAAAAATTTGCTGTGCCAATACTTTGTTCCGGCAGTGTATGTGTTTCAACATTGTTATTGAGGTTTATACCACGATTTGTTTTTATAAAAAATGGAAAAGGCAACAAAATCTAAGCGGTAGAAGTTATAGCTGCTATTTCGGAGATCACCATATTTCCTCATCAGACTCTATTCTTGACTTCAGCAGGTATCGAACGCGCGGATATTGGAAAATCGCTTCGCTAAATTTGGTGTATTTGAATTTTATCTTTTCTAAGTAAAACTTCTTAATCGAGTCCGGAGATGTTTGCGTTAAATATTTGAAGCCACGGTTGTTAATGCCATTAGATATGCATCGTTCGTTAGATTTTCAAAAATGAGATGTAAAATGTAAACCCAAGGCATATTAAACAGGTAGTATCAGCAGAACAGCTGTTTAGATTTTTTTTTCACATTGTTTGGTGTCCAAACGGTCAAATATTTTAATTTTTTTCACAAAAAATCTTAATTTGGAAAATGTATTTACATGTGAATCTTCAAAAACAAGCGATTGAAAACGAGGCTTTGGAACGTTTGCTTAACTCAGGGGCATACACGCTGATTATTGGGCCTTGCAAAGGATGAATTGATGCTTCTGGAAGAAAAAAAAAAAAGAAAGTCGCACGAACTTTAAATTTTTTGTATTTAAAGTTATTTTAATTTTTGTGTAGACTTTCTTTGACATTTTAGATACCACAAGCAACAACAAAATATAGGTAAATGTTGTTCTTGCTCTAATACTGCTACCTGTTTGATATGACTTGGCTTGACCTGCTTTACTTTCTTATTGCATGCAGGAGCGTTGCCACTTGTTTAAAAAATCAAATTAAGCATTATTCACCAGTTAATTGATTTACGTTTGTACATATGTTTCGCAATGTCAAATGAAAGAGGATTAAGAAGGTCTTAGTTTTTGAAAAGCAGCGTTGCCACCCCTTTGAAAATTACTAAACTAATTAAATAAGTAGAGTTAGCGATTTTATGAAAAACCCTACTCCTCATATAAACTCAGGTGTAGGTGACCTATGTATAAGACATTGTGAATATCTCGATTAAGGCGGGTGGCACCCTATGTAAAAAAAAAAATATATTACAAATTATTTAATAATTAAAATGAATTACTAAAGTGAAAACTCTTAATCGAGTTCGGAGAGGTTTGCGTTGAAGACAAAGAGAAACACCAAAAACAAAGGCAACTATAAGACAGAGACAAAGAAAAAAGAGATAAAGACAAATGCCAAAACAAATATACAGATGAAGCAAAAGGTAAACACAAGGATAAAGCCACAGACAAAAATAAATATAATGAAAAGGATAGAGATAGGCAGAGATAAAGAGTGAAAGGTAAAGATAAAACTGAAGATAATGTTTTTCTATATCATGTTATAATGCTCACCTTACATCTGCTCCACTCATCCCAACTCATCCCCACTCATCTCACCTCAGCTTAATTAACCTCACCTGAAGTTAGGCCTCACCCCAACTGGCTTCACCTCTGGTCTTTCCGTTGTAGAGGAGGCCTTCCTCTAAGTCTGCTGCGATACAGATAAATTATAATTTTATAAGTATGTATTGTCTTATGCAGTGTTTAATACCAAATGCTTTTTTTTCTTTATAGGAAAAGAACTCATTCTATAACGTTTCCTGCATACTTACTCTTCCACCTTATCAGCGAAAAGGCTATGGACGTCTGCTTATTGATTTTAGTAAGTATTTTGATTTTAATGAATATACAATACGCATACGCATACCTTATAATTATTCAACTAAATTGAGTCAATTTAGTTTTAAATTGAACTAACGATTGGTGTTCGTGAAAAGTTTTATTGAACCCGATCTATAGAAAACATTACTTGGATCACGTGCCAGCCATACAGATAATGTACATATTTCATTGTTTTGGCGTATGGCGAAAATACATTCGGAGGTTTGTCATTGTTTGTAGTGTTGGAAGAGCTATTAGAAACAACTTGAATGTTAGTAGGGTCAGGAATTGAATCTAGGTGGGACTAGTTATAGAAGTCACCCCTCAGCTACGCCGGCCGCCTGGAAACAATTGTTGAATAATACTTTTCCCATGAAAATCAAAGTGCTCATCATTTTGGTTATACATTTAAGAAAATCGTTTTCTTTTTTTCACAAAACTTAATAAAAAAGCGCATTGCTGCAGTCTTGGATTACTCATTTCATTCATTATGAAAGCAAAGTTGATGACTCAGTAATACGAGCATTTTAATAACAAAACAATTTCAGAAAAGAGCAAAAAAATACTATGCCAGTTATTCATCTGCAAACAACTTTGTTCAAGCGAATTCCAGTAAATGTGTCTATACATACATACCTATGCACATATTTAAATATACAATACATACGTATGTATATGCGCTCCAATTTTTTCATTGACCGCAACTAAATTCATACTGATATTTTGCCTATAAAAATTTATTAATAAAATTATTGCTTAGTGCTTGGAAAATTCATTGTCATGCCACACCTATGTATTGCTGTCACTGGAACTGCTTTGCTGCATAGAATTTTTGGATGGAAATGGCATTTTGATTATTCACATAAAGTGTCTGCAACAACACCATCTGAGGTAGAATTGCATTATGCATACATACATACATGTGTAGTATCTATCTATATCTGTATCTATCTGTAGATAGAAAGTATTATACTTATGAGCAAACTTTTGTATGATTTTCATACATATAGTGTGTGACAGAGTGATAAGGTCAGCCCAATATTCGCTCAATATACATAAGTAAACATACCGTAACTGACTTCTACAACGTACCACTGCAAAATATGGATACAGTTTGACTACCTACAGTATTTATACCTCATCGGTATGCAACGTCAAACAACATTCATTGTAAAGTGGCGCGTTGTGTATATACATATATATACGTTATAGAACGCTTCTACTGCAAAGTTTACTTTAATAAAGTCAGCGGTTTTTGTTTTGTTGGGTCGTGAGCTCATAGAAATAAAAATAGATAAAGTTAACGCCAAGAGCTTGATCATTTTTTATTTTGGTCGAAAATAGGATTGAAAACATTGTTGAAATGTGACTATTGAGTTATGAAATATGAGCCGTTTATTTTGTAAGTGTTTGGTTACATAGAATCCATTACGGAATGCACCCAGAAAAAAATTTGGTTATTATTACCAAGTTTTGTTTGTAGTAACCAAAAGGCATAGTTGCATATGGCGAAATAAATATTAAGTTTGTGGAACTCTGCAATTTGCTTGAGGAGTTTAGATGTACCAAATGTGTATTTGGTTATAATAACAAAATAAATGTCTTAAGAGCACCAAATAATCTTTTCGATTAAAAATAATATTAGTTGTATGAAATATGTATTGACTCGAAAAAAACACATCATAAAGTGATAATACTTAGATGTTATTTGAAGCAAAATGAGTTAGTTAAAAATAAATTAAAATTTAGGAAAATGAAATAATACTCAGGTTGATACAATTTTAAAGTTGGTTCTATCAACCCTTCTAAAGATTTCATTCAGGCAAGAGTTTAGTTTAATTGGATGTATTCGTATTTATAACCTCTTATTTTTGCTCTATTTTTTATCATTAAAAATAATCTCTATTTTAGGAAGGTACATTATACTATAACCAAATTACCCGTTGAGAGAAAATTTCTTTTCCATTTCTTGAAGGTCATTTTATATGAATTTTTAGTTTTTATTGACAATTGTATACTACGCTTAAAACGTCTTTATTTTCATTTTTATTCGGCATTGTATAGTTACTATTTTAGAGGATACAGAAAAAATTGAGATTTCTTACAAGGAGTGTTAAAGGTACCGTACCGTTAAAACTGAAAACTTCCCGCGCAATCAGTATACATCCACTGAGATTCTGCACTGGCGGCCGCTGTGATGTAGCCGCCGTTATGATTGCGCGCTATCATTCTGTGTTCAAGCCCAGTTTCCAGCCAAAATCAAAAAATAAAAAACAAAAAAAAATTTGTTTTTAATAGCGGTCGCCCCTCGGAAGGCAATAGCAAGTCTCCGAGTGTATTTTTGCCATGAAAAACAGCTTCTCATAAAAATTCGTAGTCCTCGTAAAACTGTAGGTCCCTCCCCTGTATGTGGTAGAAGCTCAGCCAAACAATCTATTATTATTACGAAACTCTGCACTCATAAACAAAATTCCACGACCACAACCTGTTTTTATCTCTTATTTATACCTAAAATTAGTATTGCGATAATTGTGGGGTGGCCTTATCATTTTGTCGCGCACTTTGTGTGAATATGTGCATCCATACATGCATACATATGTACTCCAATAATTCCACAGTAACGACGAGTACCTTGTTGGAAATTGGGTAGCCTCCTCAATTAATTACTAGTGTCTGGTTTGGTTTTTTCTACTGTCAAGCAGCGGTACTATGAAGCAGGCCTTAAGTGAAAGCCCTGTTGCGATATCACGACTGGAAAAGTTTCACTGCCCCCTTGCTGAACCATTTAGAGTCCTTGAAGAACCTCGTCAAACACCTAATATTTATATCCGGCACTTCACATAGTTCGCCCTAAATAAAAGAGATCCAAATCTGCTCCTTGACTGCGCAGAACAGTAACACGAACGGATAAGAACTGTATCTTCCTCTTCATGGTATTTGTAGTTTCATCTGATAAAATTTCAACATTATCTGATTGCGTGTAATAACTTCCTACGCACACTCCTCTCTACTTGGAATCTCCATCATGTTGATCCGTTTACTTTGCTAAGTAGTTTAAGATTGGTCACCTTATTTAGGTTAGGACACCATAGGTAACTCTATTGAGGAGTACTGGTCTAATAACTGTTAATTCGGCGGCAATTACTTGAGTTCAAATACAATTTCTATCCATGGCTATCTTTAACAATCACAGAACTATAAAAACATACTCATAACGATGATTTATGTTCCCTTTTTCCAAGCTCAGCTTCTTATGGTCTGATTATGGCAACTTAATGTAACTTCCGGCTCTCTCTTAAAAGTTCTGTTCAATGGGTGCTGCTTATAATTGGAAAGCCGAAACTTAACGTAACTTAATGATACGTCGAAATCTGTTTCATTTTGATTATCTAAGTTCTACGTTCCGTTAAGTTAAGTTAAGTTGCCATAATCGGGCTTTTATCCATTGTAACGCCTACGAATTGAGCTTTGTTCGAGAAACTAAGAGCTCAACCAGCCACGAAGGTGCGCCCTTCCGTACTTGCCATCCGTATTAACATATAAAATTGCTGTCGATAGAGAGAGAGAAAAAATACGGCAACGGTTTACGATTTTACGTCAGTGACTGGCTGAGCTCTTAGACGAAATACGGCTCTTGTAAAGAGCATATGTTCCACTTAGTCAGAATTAACGCAGAGACCACAACGCGTGGTTCATACTAAGTGCCCTGTGCATCAAGTCACACAGTGACTGTGGGAACTTGTCTCTATACGCAATTGCGACATCATCAGCATAGACGACAACTTTGGCTCCCCCCATTTGGTATCCTGCAGGGAAAAGTTTGTCGTTAAGTTCGGTAAACGTGCTGTAAAACCTCACCATATTCTCCTTCTTTATTGGCGCTGTAACCGCCTAAGCGATTTTGGCCCAGTCCAAAACAGCGCAGCAGTCGTTTCTCTTCTGTGCCACCTGGCGCCAATTGCAAAGGTGAAGCCAAGTACTTCTCCTCCTGGTCTTTCCAAAGCAGAGGAGGCCTCCCTCTTCCTCTGTTATGAGCATCGCGACCCCCGTTCAATACTTTCAGAGTTGGAGCATTTCCGCTGTACTATGTCTATGTCGTTGTGAAGCTCATCGTAAAACCTTACCTCCATATGATATTATTGAAAGCTCTATAATGTCTAGATAGACTGCAACAATAGCCCTAGCAGATAAAGGACTTTTCGAAGAAGTTTATTAGGCTATGAAGTGGGCTCTCTGTGGGCTTTACTCTTTGGTAGCAATTGTGAGATAAAGGTAGGCTCTGGCTATTCTCTCTAGGGATTTAAGCACAAAGGACGATAGTCTCAGAGGCCAAAGATCCTTCGGATTCGTGTGTGAAGCCTCGTTGACTTTAGACCCTAAACCCAATCAGAACCAGTTTACAGAAGTTTCGAACTTAGCACTCAGGAGCAGTAGCCCTTTTCCATTGTACGTAGTAAATAATTAAAATGACGACTTCTGCAGCGGAGGTTGTATGGGCATTTTCAGTGTTTGATGCCTGGATCTTGATCGCCTTTGGGCCAGTGTCAGGACGTGCACCATAAATTAAAGGAAAAGCGCAGCCATTGACTCTGGCCATATCATTACATTCGTCATTCCATCTACATCTAACCACGATGTGCAAGTAAACTGGTGCATAGCTCTTGAATTGAATAGTTCTCTCGAATGTCCCAAAATCAATCCCATCTTTCTTAGATATCGTCAGCGTCTAATCGCCATTAAAAGTACGAGCACAATGAGATGTGCATTAATTTTTGTTCATGGCCACTTCTTGGCTAGTCTTTGTTTGATCTGGAGACTGTCGTTATTAATGGTGTTAGTTCCTTGATAACTTCCTAGTTATGAATGTATGGGCCAACAATGACATGTGTCCCAATGAGGTGTTGTCCAATAAGCTTCTTTACTTGCTCTTCTACTTAAACCCAACTACCTTCTCAAAACGCACCTTAAAACGTCGTTTGGTTTTATATTTGTTCTTCCCCG